CAATGGTAATACTTAAAAAATACATAGGAATTTGAAAGATGAAGTCTAATTTTTGTTTGGAGCTCCATCTTCAAGAAATCAAGAGCAATACATATCATATTAGTATTGGAAGATGTATTTAGCATTCCTCCACAGGTTTGTGAAACTATCACGATCATCATCACCTAGTCCCGGATATTTCCACATCTCTCTGTTTTGAACGGTTTCAATAGGTCTATACCTAGTGGAAAAAAACTTCGGAAACTATATAATAATTAGGGGCTTTTTAGGTGCTAATTAGGGCCTCTAATTAAAAATTAGGTGCTCCTTTAGTTTTTGAGAAAATCAAAAAAAACTAAGGGACTGCTAGATTTATAAAAGCTAGCAGTCCCCTATAGTAAAAAATATGTTTTCAAATTTTTTCTTTGTATCAGAATTAGGGGCTTTTTAGGTGCTCCTAAATTGTCCAAGAAAAAATTGAATTGATTAATTATTAACTGAGTTACAGATTTTTTTTCAATTATAAGGGGACTGCTGGCTTTACGTTTACTTGTTGGTATGTCAGAATGGCAAAAAAACTTCGAGATCTATATAATAATTAGGGCCTCTAATTAAAAATTAGGTGCTCCTCTAGTTTTTGAGAAAATCAAAAAAACCTAAGGGATTGTTAGGTTTATGAAAGCTAGTAGTCCCCTATAGTAAAAAATATTTTTCCAAATTTTTTTTTTGTACCAGAATTAGGTGCTTTTTAGGTGCTCCTAAATAGTCGAAGAAAAAATAGAATTGATTAATTATTAACCGAGTTGCAGGTTTTTTTTAATTATTAGGGGACTGCTGGCTTTACGTTTACTTGTTGGCGTGTCAGAATGGCAAAAAAACTTCGGGATCTATATAATAATTAGGTGCTTTTTAGGTGCTAATTAGGGCTTTAATTAAAAATTAGGTGCTTCTCTAATTTTTGAGAAAATCAAAAAAAACTAAGGGATTGCTAGGTTTATGAAAGGTAGTAGTCCCCTATAGTAAAAAATATTTTTCCAAAATTTTCTTTTGCATCAGAATTAGGTGCTGAAAATTTTGGAAAAATATTTTTTACTATAGGGGACTACTAGCTTTCATAAACCTAGCAATCCCTTAGTTTTTTTTGATTTTCTCAAAAATTAGAGAAGCACCTAATTTTTAATTAAAGCCCTAATTAGCACCTAAAAAGCACCTAATTATTATATAGATCCCGAAGTTTTTTTGCCATTCTGACACGCCAACAAGTAAACGTAAAGCCAGCAGTCTCCTTATAATTAAAAAAAATCTGTAACTCAGTTAATAATTAATCAATTCTACTTTTTCTTCGACTATTTAGGAGCACCTAAAAAGCACCTAATTCTGGTACAAAAAAAAATTTTGGAAAAATATTTTTCACTATAGGAGACTAGTAGCTTCCATAAATCTAGCAATCCCTTAGTTTTTTTTTTTTTTGATTTTCTCAAAAACTAGAAGAGCACCTAATTTTTAATTACAGGCCATATTTAGCACCTAAAAAGCACCTAATTATTATATGGATCCTGAATTTTTTTCCCCATTCTGACTATTTCTGACACACCAACATGTAAACGTAAAGCCAGCAGTCCCCTAATAATTAAAAAAAATCTGTAACTCAGTTAATAATTAATCAATTCTATTTTTTCTTCGACTATTTGGGAGCACTTAAAGAGCAGCTAATTCTGATACAAAAGAATATTTTGGAAAAATATTTTTTACTATAGGGGACTACTAGCTTTCATAAACTTAGCAATCCCTTATTTTTTTTTGATTTTCTCAAAAACTAGAGGAGCACCTAATTTTTAATTAGAGGTCCTAATGAGCACCTAAAAAGCACCTAATTATTATATAGATCCCGAAGTTTTTTTGCCATTCTGACACACCAACAAGTTAACGTAAAGCCAGCAGTCTCCTTATAATTAAAAAAAAAATCTGTAACTCAGTTAATAATTAATCAATTCTATTTTTTCTTCGACTATTTAGGTGCACCTAAAAAGCACCTAATTCTGATACAAAGAAAAAATTTGAAAAAATATTTTTTACTTTAGGGGACTTCTAGTTTGTATAAACCTAGCAGTCCCTTAGTTTTTTTTGATTTTCTCAAAAACTAATTTTTAATTAGAGGCCCTAATAATCACCTAAAAAGCACCTAATTATTATATAGTTCCCGAAGTTTTTTTCCACCTTGGGACTGCTACTTATAGACCTGGTTTCAATCCAATTTGTATTTACTTTTTCTTGGTTTCGCTTATCCAGATCTCGATATCCACTCTAAAACTTGTCCCTCTATACTATCTTTCTGCCTTGCGATATAACCAGCTCATCTGTATGCGATTTTCTCTTTATGTCTTCCACTAGATCTTTTCCGGATTTCTCTATTTCTTATTTTGTCTCCTAAAGTTATTCCAAGTATCGATCTTGCGCTGTGTAACACATTGTCTTCTGGTTGATGCTTTCATGAGTGTCAAGGTCTCTGCTCCATAGACCAGAATTGGCACGTGCTAAAAGTTGTCCTGTTTGAGGATATCGGTATATCATTATCATTTGATTATCTCTGTCGATTCTAATCTCATGTCCTAGATAACTGTTTCGTGAATTTGAATGTTTTCACTGGGGACTTTATCTACCATTGCCTCAGTCTTGCCATTATAATTGATACACATGGATATCGAAAATGTCTTCTGATCCTCCAGTTCGTATTTTATGTGGATTAGGTACTTATAACTTGTAAGGTCGCCATGAGGATTTTTGTTTTTGTACAGGTCTTTGTAAAACTCTTCTATGATCTTTATTATTTGCTCTGTCATTTGTTATGTTCCCTTCCTTGTCTTTGTTAGAAAATTTCTTTGTTAGTTGTTTTCTCAATACTTTCAGGCTTTTGTTTTTTTTTTTCTATTGTTTGTACTACTTTTTCTTATTTGTATTTCCTCAGAGCCTTGGATATATCTTTGTTTATTTCTTTCAATTTTTGTTGGTTTGCACTTGATTTATCCTTAAGTAGGTACTACCTATACGTTCTTCTATGTTTGTTGGGTTTTCTGGCCTGATTTTTTCTTATTCAGGATTTTTTGTTCACTATTTCTCCTATGCATCCAATATTGTTTCAATTACTGCCGGTTTAGAACAATTTCTTCATTGTCCGACGCCCATTCTTCACCTCGTTTGATCCTGACAATCCTCTTCTGTGAGGTTGTTTGTACTCATTGATTTCTGGACGGATTGCTGCCATTTCAGTTTAAGATTTCTTTTTCATTGGTTGACATTCTAGGACCTGCTTTGGTAATCCTCCGTCGTTCATCCGCTGTACATGGCCGTACCACATTAGTTTTCTTTTTGTGATGTTTTTCGTTATGCTTCCCTCGATTCATATTATATCTTTTATAGTCTGATTTCCTATGTGACTTCTTCTAGACATTCTCATTGATCTTCCTATTGCATCCATTTCGACACTTTTTGTTTTGTATTTTTCTGTTGCGCCACAAGTCTGTATTCCATACAGCAGCGTAAACATAATGATTTTGAGGATGTAGTGCATTCAATTGAAAGGTATTTAAGAATGAGTGAGTCACACTGTTGTCCTGTTGTAGATGATGTTTTGAAACTAGTAATTTATTATTATACGCATGGATGGCCTGACAAGTTGTATGAATCAGAATTAAAGGTTTACTATCAAAATAGCAGCGAAATGCATGTACCTATATAACAAATCGTATTTTTCAATGACATAATTACAGTCCCGAAAGCCTTAAGACAGGAAATGCTAAAAATTTTACATGAAGGTCACTTTGGAGTCAATCGTACAATAGAAAGAGCTCGCGAAATATTGTTTTGGCCAGGTATTACCAAAGATATAGAACATATATGATACAAGAATATGTTCAGTGTGAGAGATATAAATATTCAGATGTAAAAGAACCCCTAATTGTGCATGAGATTCCAGAGTTACCATTTCAAAAAGTTGCTTCAGACATTTTTGACTTTGGAAGTGAATCATATTAAGTTATTGTTACAAAGTGGTCAGAAATAATTCCACTAAAAAGTAAACAAAGTACCTAATGACTTACAAGCATTTAAAAAAGTTTTCGCAACATTTGGTATTCCAGATGTTGCAATCTCAGATAATATGCCTTATTCTTCGTATGAATGTAAACAATTCGCAAAAGACTTTGATTTTATGTTCAAGACCCAGTAGCCCCTGTTATACGAGGTTCAATGGCCTTGCAGAAAGGTTTGTTCAGACAGAAAAAATGGTGTGACATAAAAGTTGCTCTTATGAAGTATCTTATAATACACCTCTAACAGGCTTCAAGAGAATCCTAGCCGAACTGCTGTTTTCGCGAAAGTTAAAAACTAAATTACCTATTGTGGATAGACCTTAATCTCCTATCGGTGATTTTAAAAAATCTTTAGATATTAGTAATCACGCTTCAGAACATTATTTAAACAAACATGCTAGGGCAACGACAGATTCTAGTAATGGAGAAAAGGTTGTATTCCGGAACTATAAGAAAGAATGGCAGCCTGCTTCTATAGTATGAGTGTCCTTGATCCTACCCTATCAATACAGGGACAAATGTTTTAAGAAGGAATAGCTATGATTTAGGAAAATCAATATTGAATCGCGACATTGACACATATTCATCAAGACTTTTTCCATATGAAAATAAGAAGATGTGTTTGAAAGCCCATTTTAAGAAAGAATTCATGACACTCCACTGTTCAAAAAGAGTTTTAACCCCAAATTTAAATTTTGTACGAAACTGACCCTTGTGTATATTAAATTTTTCCAAAAATGTTCTAAGTTTTCATCAACCTCTCATGGAAAATATGTATTTGATGAATCAACCACATGGAATAAGTTTCCATTTGCAACACCTGGTCATGATCAAATATTGATGCCAAATAATACTAGTTGAGTTAGTGTCTACTTTAAAGAAAAATCTACTCAAAATTCATTAATATGGATTTGAAAAAAAAACCATAAAAGCTTGAATAGTCCGTTAAGTTTGAAAATATATTTACAAAAACAAAATAGGAATACTTCAATATTATTAGCCTAAAATACAGACATTCTGCGAAAACATGTACCTTCTAAGTTAAATTCTTAAATACCTATAGCTAAATTGAATAAGTAGAGTTTTATAATTTACAATTCCCAAACCTAAATGCGTGAGAAATTATAATTGTATAGAGCTTTGTAACAAAACTAGCGTAGTATCAACAATAGTAATACCTATATTTGAATATATAAATCCCGAAAATGATAATGCATACCTAGTATTCAGCAAGAAATCACCGCCTATTTGGTAAATTTGAATACAATAATTCTCAAAAATTAAAGATAAACAATCTACTTATGTTTCCTTGCCAAATTCAAAGCTAGTTTATAGCCCAACTCAGGTCGCCTATCATGTCCCTTGGTCATATCTGTTACTCGATCGGATGTCACAATTATTCCATTATTTTTGACAATGCTGTCCTTCATTTTTTCAATTCCCAGTAAATCTACACCTCTGCAACAGTCGTCCAATAAAATTGTTCTGAATCCGCTTACCAGAGCATCTGATGCTGTTGCACCTTAAAGAAAAATAATATGATCTGATCGAATCTTAAAAGATTGATGGAATTATGGCTTGATGAAAGTTTTGATTTATCCAGCAACTATTCAGAAGCTTACCAACACAAAAATCATACGCTATTCCGCAAACATACACGTCGGTGACATTTCTCAATTTGAGTTGCGTTTCCATTTTCGTATCCGATAATCTGGAATTATCCCAGAATGCGGAATACGAGTCTATCTCTGGGTTCGTGCCTTTGTAGATTTTAACAGCATTATGTGTGACCTAAAAATTATTTTAGACATTTTAATATTAGTACTGTGCGATTTATCTATAAAATCCTTATACTCGCCTTTAGATCTTTATACAATTCACTGCCCCAAGTATTTTGCACACAATGTCTTGGCCATAATTTCTGAGTCATCGGCGGGTCTCCATCAAAAATAACAGTATCATATACCTTTGCATCTTCGCTTTTGATCGGGCTTGATTCATGAAGTTTTCTCAAACTAAAAAAAAAAAGTGCAGCTTTCTCAACACACCGTTTATCAAATAACATTCAAGGGACATGTCATATAGATACTTACTGTAAGTTATCAATAAAGGACACATGATCCTCGGGATGCCAGTCGTAGGAATAGAATACGGCATCGAATTCCACCGAATCCAAAAGTTCGTTTATCGGTCTGATGACGTCCTCGCCGTTGTGCTTGGCCGAACAGTTTCTGATGTTCAGCGTACCGCAGATGAAATCGTTTTGGACGTCAATTACGAGCAGCGCCGAGACTGGTTTCACAATCTGGAATCGATAAATCATTCAATTACTGGAAATTGATTCAATCGTAATTGTGCCGGAGGTATATTAAATTGATGGCACTAAGAATTTATTGAAATAGGAACAGATGGAGATTCGTTTTCCGGATTACGGGATTAGTGTCAACAATTGGGGATGACTTTTCAGGGGTTTTGGCAAATTTTTATGAAACTGTCTCTTATTTGCCTATTTTATTGAAAATGTAGGTAGATATTCTACTTTTTGGAAATGTATATCTATTGACCGATAGCAATGGAACTGTGTCATTTTGAAACAGTCACATGAAGTGCCTACTCTATTATTTATAATAAATCCAATTTCTTTTAAATTAAACAGCGAGTGAGATGAAATGATTTCTAAATTCTTATAAATTTTATTCGGTTTTGTGTCTTTTCAATCCCTGCCTGATCTATAGTCTTGGAAAGGACGTATACAAGTTTTTATTCTTTATTTTATTATCGAGTTTTTGTCATTGATGGGATTCTGAGAGACTCAGCCAATAGCCTAGAGAATTCTAGCTTATACTGTTCAAATTGCAAGTGTACTAAAAATTAAGTTTCCATGGAACAAATGACCGAATCAATTGAATTTTCTGGCCCCACAGACTTGCACTTCTCCATAAAAAAGGAGTCCCGATATAGAAATATTCTAGGCATCTGCAGATGCACTCGATGATCATGAGTCACGTCTGCCTGTCGAGTAGTTCTTGCATGTATAGTTCTATATAGATGGGATCATTTCTGACAGGAGAGAAAAAAGGTTGCACAGCGGTGACGTTAGTTCAGCTGCAAAATTTTTTAATACAGGTGGTATTCCATCGGGGCCAGTAGCTTTGTTGTTGATGTCCAGGTCTTTTTCAAGATCTGTCACGGAAAAATATTTGCAGCATCAGATAGGGGACTCTTTGCGAGATTGGTGGAGTGAAGGGTCAAGGTGGCGTGTTACATTGTGGGTTTGAGGTAGAGTATGCAGCAACCATCTGTTCCAGTACGTTCGACTTTTCCATTCCAGTCACTGCAATGGAACCCTCTTCTTCAGTCTACGGTCGAATCTTGGGTTTACAGAAGCTTTGACCAACTGATTTGAATACATACCAGAAAGATTTTGATTCAGTTGAGCGGATGAGCAGTTTGTTTCCCACTCTCTCATTATGTATATTTTTCTGCTGGCATCGATTATCTTACAGGTGTTTCTTAGGGCAAAAATATTTGCACGATTTGCAGGATTTGGGTCTTGGCGCCATTTGCGATATGCAGCATTTTTGTTATCGACTGCTTAAGTGCAATATTTTTCAAATCATGGTTTGTTGCCTGAAGTGCCTTTCCTGCTGCAACAATCCCCAAAAGATCCTGAGTTAAAACTTCCAGTTCGCAAGTTGCGGTTATTAATTGTGGTCTGATGTTCCTGAAGGTGCGTGTGTGCGCTGTCTTCTCCTAATATCCAGCGATTCCTGGAAGGAACAGAATGCCCTAATTCATTGAAGAAGCAAAAAGAATCTGGTTCACTACATTGGTCGTTGTTTTGATCATTAGGTTCGTTTCTATATGTTCTACATTCTACATTAATATCTTCATTCGATGTTTCTTGATGCAGAGCAGAATCTCCTCTTGGCGCAAGGTGACGTACTGACACAGTTGTTTTTTTAGCTAATCTGATATGAGCATAATCAGAGTTAGCTTCTAGGAGTTGCACTTCTTCCACGATCGGTTCATACTGGCTTTGTCTTACATGCTTCTTTAGGAAAACTGGACCAGAAATGCTCAGCCAGGTTGGAATTGAAGAAGCATTTGTAGATCTTCGAGGATGACAGAACATTCTTTCATGCGGTGAACAATTTGTTGCTGTGCATAACAAAGAACTTATTGAATGTAAAGAGTCAACCAGTTCCTGCTGCCAATGTCTTATATAATACCATTATACCGTTTCCTTGTGGGTTATAAGGAGTAGTGCGACTAGTTGCAATCCCATGTCGTGTTAAGGATGTTCTTAGTTCTTCAGACATAAATGATGCCCCTCTATCACTATGCAGGTACGATGGTGTCCCAAAAACAAAAAAAAAGTTGAGTTAAGCAATTTATAATAGTTGATGAGGTCATGTCAGGACAAGCAAAGCCAAATGGGAATCTGGAAAATGTATCCACAATAGTCAAAATATAGCGGTTTTGGTTCTTAGATGGCAATGGACCTTTAAAATCTACATTTATTCTTTCAAAAGGGGCAGTAGCTTTTATGATGGTCCCTTGATTTCTATGAAACCTTGGTTTGATCTCAGCACAAACGGGACAGGTGGCTGAAATTCTCTTGATATCGTCTAGTGAGAAAGGTAGATTCTTACATCGGACTCAGTGATACAGTTTTGTTATTTCAAGATGACAGAGAATTATGTAGATCAGACAATGTTATGTCACTAGAGGAAGGTAAAATCGCAGAAGATATTCTTGAAAATGTATCTGCTATGATATTTTGTTTTCCAGATCTGTATATGATATCATATTTATAAGATGATAGTTTCATACGCCACCGCATTTTTTTTCATTTTTGATTATAGAATTACTTATTGAATTAAAAATAAAGACGACCTATTTCTGGTCAGTTACGAACTTAAAATAACGTCCTACAGAAAATGCGAACTGCTTCCACTATAGCGTAGGCTTCTTTTTCTACGGATAAATGTCGCTGTTCCGATTTCGTCAATGTTCTAGAGAAAAACGCCACTGGTTTTTTAGACTGTATAAGTTGAGCAGCAATAGCATATTCCGATGTGTCAGTTTCCACAGTAAAAGTGGCTTCATCGTCAATGGAAAGAGCGTGTTGTATATCAGTCTTCAACTGTTCAAATGCAGCAGCTTCACAAGCAGACAATTGAAACTTTTTAACTCGAATCAGTGGATGTATTTTCTCAGAAAACTTATGAATGAACAGGGCCGCAACTAGGGGGTGGCGAACTAGGCGCCCGCCTAGGGCGCCGAAGGCGCCTAATTTAATCCATCCATATTTTACAATCCAAAAAAATGCAACGGTTTTACGCGTCATTTGTCGTAACATAAATTTATTTTGGTTGTTACGTCTCTCTTTGTCAACCATCAACAATACGAATATCGATAGTAATTATACAAATTATGTCAAACACAGTGCGCGTGCAAATGGCACCAGCAAATCGCAATGTCTGTGATAAATTCAAGTATTGATGACGTAGCGCCCAACATTCCTTCCAGAGCTTAGCTTCGAGTCGAGCTTTGATCTGACCAAACTGAGCAAGAGCAATGCTGCATGCATTATCTCTTTTGACTCTTTTCTCTTTAGCCGTTTATGAAAACTATAATCGGGTTGACCCGATCAGCAGCTGAATGTTTTCTATCTTTCCTTAATGAATACAATTGAAAAAAGACAAAATACCTACGTCTGCTGGCGATCGGGTTAACCGATCATAGTTTCCGTAAACAGCTTTTACTTCTATAATAGCTTCGTTCGCGGTAAGTCTGAACTGTTTGAAGTCGAGTTTCGATGAAAACGGTCCTGGAAACTTGGTTTCGGCTCCCCCTCTGGCAAGGAGATCCGCCATTTCGTTGCCCCCAAGGCCAGCGTATTCCGGTATCCACATAAGGGGTTACCTTGTTCTCCTTCCCTACTAATTTGCTTAGAGCTTTCTGTGTGAAATGTAGGCGTGACAGTGGCAGTACTAGTATTGGAGCCAAACATAGAGGGCGAGGAAGTATTGGTTTTATTTGATGCGGTACTCTGTCCACCAAAAGTTCCACCAAAATTTATCGAAGGTGTCGTCGTTGTTGCTGCTGGCGCACCAAAATTTATCATCGGTGTAGTGCTAGTAGTAGTTGTGCTAGCGATACCAAAAAATGGCACTGTGCTTGGAGTGGTTGTAATGTTGAAACTAGGAGTCTTTTTAAGTGCAGCATTGGAACCAAAATTAATCGCTGGAAATTTAGCGAATGAATTTTCAAAAGAAAAGGTGGGTTCCGTTTTCGAAGTGGTTGAAGCAGCTGTTGTTGTGTTGGAACTTGATCCAAAAACTATTACAGAACTTTCTGAGGGCTTATTAAAATTCAATGTATTTGCAGATGTGGCAGCAGGAAAACTTATAGAGGGTAAAGTAGTTTTTGTAGCAGGAGATGTGGTACTGGCAGGTGCGTTAAGGTCAAATTTGAAGCATCCAAGTTTTTGAGGGCTAGTTTCCAAAGGTTTACCTAAACCAAACGAAGGCTTACTTGTGTCAGTTTTATCTGTAGAAGTTGGATTACCAAATGAAAAGGTTGGGGTGGTTGAAACAACAGGTGTTGTCTGGATAATAGAAACTTTACTAACAGATTCTGATACTATATGAGCTGATGTTTGTGTCAAAGAGGGCTGATTGATCGATGGTGCTGCTGCTGTGGTTTCATTAAAGTGTACATGTTTTTCAGTAGGTTTATGTGTACTCGATTTTGGAGATGATAAAATTGAAGTTAGGGATGATTGGACTTCTGTTTGCTCTTTTGTAACTGTCGCTGGTTTTTCAGGCTCAGAAACATTGACTGAAATATTTTTCTTAAACTCAGAGCTCATTAGAGACAACAATCTTTTTCCTCTATAATTATTACTTATTATATTTAGTGCGGCAACATTTGGCAATACCACCTCTGTTTTTGGTACCGCACCGGTAGCTTCAGCTCCAGTTTTCGGCAGTGGTACCACAACGACAACTTCCCCGCCAACGTTTGGCAATACAACTTCTTCAGTTTTTGGCACTCCAGCTACCACGGCTTCAGTTTTTGGTGCCACTAGTTCTCCTGCCCCTCCAACTTTTGGCAGTACCACTTCAGTTTTTGGAAACACCCCAGCAACTCCAATGTTTAGCAGTACTACTACAACTACTTCTGCTTCGATGTTCGGAAGCACTACCACTATAACGGCGCCTCCACCACAATGTCACAACCTGTTTTGTCGTGACTTTGGATCTAGTCCAAGATGAAAACCAAATGTAAAATAACAATGCCTATTTATTACTCACAAAATAAAATAAAATAATAATAAAATAAGGGAAAGTATCATGAATAATTTTATTGATTTAAAATGATGAGTTTACAAATTGACAAAAACAAATGACTTACCAATGGAAATCCATCTTTCTGTAACATTATAACTTTAACTTTTTTCGCGCCCGATAACCTGGCTCAAGCTTTGTTATCTGCTTCAGCTTTAAGACCCAACTGACTAGGAAAATCGAACCATTGATCCAAGTCGATTTTCTATTGTCAGCAAGAAATTATTGATTCCTCAAACTTGGGTCGTTGCACCAAGTTTTTTGCTGATATGCTATAAGTCTACTTATTCATTGCAATGCCAGTATTGCTCAATATTGGTAATAATCGCACATTTTATTGGTATGTTCACTCTCTACCCGCAAAATTTCAAATGGAAAGGGGGGTTCTAATGATACAATGTACTATAAATTTCCTAACATAGAGAAATATAATAAACCAAGGTGAGAGTTATCGATTCTGTGGTGCGACACTGGCATTGCGATGACGTCATATCGATACTAGCGCCACTATCCACTACAAGACTAAGGGCGGGTATTATAAAACTACTTTGACAGTTAACTTAAAGTTAACTTCTGGAATTACATGTAATTTAAAAAGTTAACTTCAAGTTAACTGTCAAAGCAGTTTTATAATACCCACCCTAACTTAAATAATATTTGGCGGGCTCTTTGAACTCTTAGATTATAGTCTTGTTATTTTTGGAGGTAGAAATCTAGGTTAGCGTTTTTTTAACCCGATTATAGTTTCCGTAAACAGCTTTTACTTTTACAATGGCTTCGTTCGCGGTAAGGATTCTGAACTGTTCGAAACTATTTCGCATGCGCAGTTCAAGACATGGCGTTCGCGGATCACAAAGTTCCGAACTTTTAGTTACGGTTCTGGATTCGCGAATCAACCAGAATCGGTTCGGAACCATTTCTGAACCAGATCTAGCGGTCTTTGGATTTTAGCAAGAACTTCAGGATTGACACATAAAGTTCGTTTACCTATTAGACAGTCTGGAGAACTCGTTCCAAAACTGGTCGCGATAAAATAATGGCGTTTTCCATTTGTTGCACGGAGGCGCACTCAGTGCAATTTTTACATTCCATTTGACTGCACATTATCAATTTTTATTTTCCATTTGAAATCCAGTGAAATTATGTATGCACCTAGTGCGCATTTTTTGGCACGAGCTAGGAAGGCTCGTGGAGACCCAGTGCAGTTTGTTTTGTTTTTGTTCACATGTGGAGGGTGGAAGGGCGCCAAAATTTGGACTTGCCTTGGGCGCCGAGGGTTCTAGTTGCGGCCCTGTGAATGAATTTGGAATAATGGGCAAACATGCCTTGAACTCTCCTGAGCGAAGCAGTATTAGTAGGTAGTGGCAACTGAATCAATGGTTCAAGTCTGTCTATATCAGGTTTGATTGATTTTCGTTTTATTGTATGCCTAGTATATTAGTTTTAGTCATGCCAAAGTTGCATTTCTCTTTGTTAAGAGTCAGATTATATTTCTTAACAACTTCTAAAAATCGTTTGAGATTTGTATCATGATGCTCTTTATTTTTACCACAGATGGTTAAGTCGTCAAGAAATGCTTATGTGTCTTCTAAATGCTCTTGTTTGATAATGTTATTAATATTTCTCTGAAAACAAGCAACGCCATTAGTCACTCCAAAAGGAATTCGAGTGAATTGGTATAGATTTCCACATCCTTCAAAGGCAGTCTATATACGTTCATGCTCTAGAACTGGTATCTGGTGATATGCACTATGAAGATCTATCGAACTAAAATATTCATACTGAGACATTTGGTTGACCATATCTTCAATCCTGGGTAACGGGTATGCATCCAAATGTGTATGTCTATTTATGGTCAATGAGTAGTCTATAACCATTCGCTTCTTATGATTTTCATTACTGGTCACTAGCACCTGGGCTCTTCACGGGGAATTGCTTGGCTCGATTATTTTCTCTTCTTAAAATCTTTGCACTTCAGCTTCAATGAATTGTAAATCAACTGTAGAGTATTTGCGAGATTTATTTGCAATAGGCTTACAATTTTCTGCCAAATGTTCGAATAATGGATATGGTACGAGATACGAGGCCTATTTCATCAAATCATTTTACACCATCTTGCATTGTTATCACCAGTTAGATAACATGGTACAGAAACTCTGGTGTTTTAAAAGTTGTTAAGAATTGAAGACTCTACAACGTATCAAAAAATGGACAAAATCCATAGAGCCCAAAAATCCCATGTTAGGTGTGCGTTATTATTTAATATATTATAATATCTGTGATATGAACTATGTATCGATAATCTCTGAATATCAATTATCCCCTGATGAAAAGGCTGTCAAACTTTATTCTCGATTCTTGAAAAATTTCTTTTTAAAAATAATTCCATATCAAAAAGGAAAGAACATACAAAAATGCTTGACATATCCTATAAGATATTTGCGAAAAAACTAAATTATACTTCGTTAAATTCATTTCCACATCTGTAATTTCAAATTCCATGCCTATGAGACTAGCTGGGATATTTCAAATTTTGCTACTCACAATTTTGATCCAGTTATTCCAGCAAAAGGCGAATTCTTCTCTATCGATTTGGCCATCTCCGTTTTTGTCGAATATTTCAAAGATTTCTTGTAGAATGCTGCTTTTAACTGAATAGGAATTTCCAGTGGGATCTCTAAAAAGAGCTTTTGTGAGTTCTTTGAATTCTTGGAAGTCCAGCCAACCATCACTGTGAAAAATAAAATACCTAAATATATTTATTTTAATAAAATAAGAATCGCAATCCTATCATTCAAACAACCTATAAATTGATCTACCTCAACCTTAAAAAGTTTATATTAAGTTAATTTCCAAAATCAAAGTACGGTAGCAAATTTATCAAAATCAGCAAACTTTTCGAAACAGAATAAGAATGAAAAGCACGTTATATACGTCATCGATTTTATGATGTCATTAGGTAGGAAAAATTGGCAATTTCCGACTCAATCAAGGTTACGCACGCGAGCTTTAACTTGCCGTTTCCGGAAAAGGTTCTAACCTTTTGGGAGATTTTACTTTAAAATATTTCCGGCTGGCATTTGCGAAATTGAGCTCTAAAATGCGACTTATTTTCCATTTTCTATAGACGGAAATATGATATGCATGATGGTAATCATTTATGGAGAAATTGTTTTCAGGTATGGTTTTTAAAACTTTGAGCAGTTATGAACTATGACTATTTTATTTGAACCGGAACCTAATTTGAATATTTTATCAAAGTTATTTTGCCAAAATCTTCTTGAAACATTTGAAATGAAACATCCTTGAATTATCATGATACCAACTAGCTCGCTATCTTGATCTTTCCATTTTTGGGAAACATATTTCCTGATCCAAACAAAAAACTATTTAGCGCTCACTCCAAAAAGTAATTATATTCTAGAAACTTAATTTCGCCTTACACGTTGGTACAAGCTATCACAGGCGTTGACCTAATTTGCCGTAATCGATGGATTACTTGCCAAATTATATGGTAACAAACTTGACGGCTAAAATCCTTAAAAGGTTAAAATAACTTAGGAATTGCGTGCCGATGATAATGCCGTCACGGTTGTTTTACTAGCAGGAAATAACCTTCTTTTAATGACGTAGCGCGCTTTCCGCCACTCCATCCACTTGGACGGGTTCGATTTAATTTCAAATGGTATCAATCGTTAATAAAATTTGCTCGAGAAGCTTTCTTTAACATGCTTTCAACTGTTCCATTGGATGGATTTTTTGATTACAGTATTTAGGTATTGAAGGCTGGTTTTGTTATTGTTCTATCAATGATTTATTACATTTTTAGTCAGAAGATGTTACGAAAACAGGTAGCTCAACGAGTCAATAAATTGAAGGTATTGCTTTTACTATGGTAAAAGCTGTCTTTTATTAAAGCAAAACAAAAGGTAATTCTTCATACAAATTGATAAGCCTTTTCTGTTAAAAAAGTTATGACATTGATTTAGATTAAATCAAATATAAACGCTTTTTCGGAAATACCACCTACAGAAAGCGAAAGCACAGTAAAAGGTTTGAGAAATTTCTGAGTTTTAAATTCGATGATTTGGAAGATTTGCTCGGGAACATGGAACTGCATCAACTATTTGTACCACGCAAACTTTACTATGGTCCTAAATACTTAAAGCAATTTCTTCTAACCTACGATATCCTCTGTTCCTCTTTTTCTAGCAGCCCTTCTGTAGTATAACATACCCGGGTTCGTTTAGTAAGATTGAACGATGAGAATTTTTATTACCTTTCAAACAACAAATCTGCTAAAAAACGAAATGAAAAACAAATAGGACCTACGTTGTGGAAACTTACTAAATTTTACTCACTGGACATGCGCCCGACATGGCAAATATTTAGGAAATTTAGGGGAAGTTGAGATATGTAAAAGAAACGAAAAATTTGTAAAACGTCTCCTTTATTATTAAAGTAAATCGTACCGTTCTCATCCTGGAACTAACGAGGGGAAAGAGCACGGCAGAGAAACCCTCGATCTCACATTCCTCGAAAATCGAAACATACTGTGTCATTTTAATAATAATTGTGAGTCAATAAATCAATAATTTAAGTCAAGGAAAGTTTAAATTAGGTACTGCCCCTGTTCTTGTGCTAAAATTTCAATTACACACAATCAAAACTACCTATAATCAATACTGAAGAGTTTTTTTGTTAGTTAGCTCATCTGCGGCAGGTACTGAGGTCCCTGGTTACGTAAACTCACAGTTATAGTTGTTTTGGAGCCAATATCTCTAGATTGATTATTTCAATTTGTTAGGATATTCTCTCGTCAGGGTAGGAAATTCAACAAGGCCCTAATACACGCTCTAAATCCAAAAATCGAAATCTTAGTACAAAGAGACAGCACATAATTTTTTTAGTTTTTAATTTACTCTTTATCGGTGTTGTTTACAGCATGAAACAATTTTTGTTAAATACATGAACAATGCACAAGTTATAGAAAATGTTATAAACAAACTAAAAATACATAAAGATGAACAAAATAATAGGTACTTTCATAAATTGAACTCTCAAAAACAAAATAACATTCAATCCACTAACCTGTGAACGCTCCTTACACACACACTAATAACAAATTGGATTGAACAATCAATTTTAATGCAAAATACAAATGGAAATTGAATAATGAATAATTACAGACACGCGTCTAAAGGAACAGCCCCAGCTTGTTCTCAAGTCTAGTTGCGTCTCCTCTATCTCCCGTTCGCAGTATCGTTCCTTGTGGTCGAACGCGGTCACCCCTAAATTTGATGGCGCAGACAAGGTTGCAACATTTACTTTGATTCAGTAAACGTTTTTTTAAAAAGTTAAGATTTGAAGATTTAATATTTTAAATAGGTGGTTTTCCTCACTTCACATTCCAGTCCTGGTCATAGGCAGTATTAATTGTTGGCAATGCTGCAGGAGAGGTGTTAATCTGGTAGTAGTAGTATCAGAAATAAAGTCCGTGTATTTCTTCAAAGTCTGATAAACTTTGAGGGCGTTGGATCTAACGGAAGGTATCTGTAATTTCCTTCATCCACCTTGTGAGAACTCATGGTATCCAGTATGAAAGTTATCATTATAAGTGATCACTATTCTCTTCTTATTGTCGTCGATTCTGCGTTTTCTTATTGCTATATAAACTAATTCTGAAGCGGCACATCCTTCTACAGTCTTGAGAGACCCAGCCTCTGGCAACATTGTCTCTTGCTCTGTTCTCTCGCTCCTTCCTGCGATCCCTCTTTTCGGTCTCGTTTCTGCGTCGCTGTTCTTCAAAAGTTTGTGATCCGTCGTGGACTACTCGACGTCATGAAGGCCTATCATTTGCCGTCGTCTCACATTTGCTGGTACCGATGCGGCACTAAACCATATTCTTCCCATCCTTGTATAGCGTTTTTGTTGACCTGTAGAGAATCTATCACGAAAGACGTGTTTCGGGCATGCAGACGAGGTGATCTGTCCAGCGAAGTTGTTGCTTAATGATGAAGGCTTCCATGCTGTGGTGGTATTTTTGCAGGCTTTTTATGTATCTTCTGTATAGGTGGTTTCGCAGCTACATGTAGGTATTGGTATGACAACTTTTATTGTATTGTAGAGGCAGCGCTGATGTGATTGCTGACGAATCTTTCTAGGATTTGCCCGAACACCGTGCTAACACACTCTAAGCGATGTTGGATTTCAGCGTCAATTCGATGTTAGCTGACTCTCCAGGTATGGATAGTGTTCTACTTTCTGCACAGAGTGGCTATTTATAGTTATATTTTGGGCTTGGCGATTAGTATTCGGTGCGGGTTGGTGCAGAATCTGCTTCTTGTTAAAATTGACCTCTAGGCCGATTCGCCTATATGCATGGTTGAATGCATTGATATATGCCTGCAGATCTTCCTCTGTATTAGCCATCAGAACGTTATCACTTGCATATTGAAACTTAATTATCGATGTCGTCGATACTTTCGTCTTGGCTCGTAATCTGTTTTGGTTGAATACACAGGATATCCGCTCTTAGCGGTAGGTGATCCTCGCTCGACAACGTGAAGTATGATAAATAGAGAAAATAACGTGGGTGCAATAACACAGCCCTGTTTAACATTTGTAGTTATTTGAAAAGACTTTCTATGCAGCAGGCGGAGTATCTAAAGGTACTTTTTGTTGTAGACACCCAACCTTCCAAAGAGCATCTCTTTTGACCGAATCAAATGCTTTCACCAAATCTGTAAAGGCCATGAATAGCGGGCAATTTTGTTCTTTGGCTTTCTCTTGCATTTGTCTCGCACTGAAAATTATGTCACCTGTACCTCGGTTGGGTCTAAAGCCACGCTGTGTGTCTGGGAGGTTCTGTTTGTCATCGGCAGTTGGAATTAGCCGATTTGTCCTGGCACGCATCTTTCTCGCAACACAAAGTAACGATTTTGTAGTTTCCACATTGAGCCTTGTCTCCCTTTTCAAAAATGGCCACTATGGAGGCATTTCTAAGTTCGGTAGGTAAAGTCCGTCGATTTTGATCTGATACTCCAAAGGAATGTGAGCTGGTGGCTCCCTACGTTAGAACGCCAATGGTCACCTGACGTCACACTCATTTTCGCCATATTATGCTTCACAATATGGTCTCAGTGATCCATATTTTACTTATTGGGATGTGGGTTTGGGCACTTATAGTCTCGAAAATTGTAGTTTTACTATTAGTTCATCATCTTTAAACTCTCGCTGACGATACACAGCAATAATGTACGAAGTATATGAGTTTGATGTTTCTTAGGAGGTCACAACAAAATTGGGTTAGTTTGGTGGAACTGGAGGAATTTTTCAAGAAAAAATGGATCTAGAGCGCCAAAGTTGGAGGACTTTTATCACACAATACACTGCTCTGGAGGTAGATTTTATACAGGCCCAGAAGCTAGCCAGTCCAAAAGTGGTTAAGGCTTCAAGGCTCAGAAGGCTTACCACAATCAGAAGATGAAGAAAATGTACTGAATCAAATAAATACCCAATGTAGAGCGTGACGAAAATCAAAGTTGAAATTTTTCGGTTAAAAGTTTTGCAGATCAGCTACTTTCCACACAGAATAGCTACTATTTGTGACAGGAAACGAATCTAAATTAACCTTTAAGATTTCAGGATTTCAGAGAAAAATTTGGGAAGAAATTAGATGTACATACCTGAGCAGCCTATAGTCTCAAGGATATTTCACTAAGTGTTTGAGCATACTGTTGTTCTCAAGAAAACTTATCAATCAGGTTCCATTCACCAAAAATTAACGAGGTTCTTGATTGCATGTACCTTTATAGGTTTTTTCCATATCCCATGAAATCACAAACTAATGAAGGTCTGTTTGTAGCTCAAGAATTATTTTTGCTAAAGACGAGTAGCCTTCAGTTATTGAAGCTGATAAAACTATTCTGGTCTTGCATCAGAGCCACCTTCTTCTCCTTGGACCTCTTGACGTTTTCTCTTTCATTTTTATTTTTTTTTTTGTTTTCCAAATGATGCCTTCCCATATCTTCAGAGGGTTACTAAATCCTTTTTATCTCTCATTTATCACAAACGTTTTGTTCTGGATCGATACAATACAAAATTAATAATGTTCTGAAAATATGCTCATACTTTTTCATCGGAATTTTAATATGAATTTGTTCAAAACTGGATATAGATTGAAATAAACTACGCGTCAATCGAACTCGAACACCCCAATTTTTGGTCACTTTTTGAAAGGCTATAACTCAAAATCTAGCAGGCCGATTTTGTTCAAATTTTCAGGAGTGGAAGGATGCTCTAATTGCTATTTAATTTCCAGTTCTTAAGAGATTTCCAGCCACCTGCTAAAAGATACAGGGTGAAACATAAGGTGGCGATTTTCTCGCGAAAGTTTGGGGAAGGGTTAAGTAGATTTTTGGTATGCAGTTTAGAGGAGTACCCTGTATAATATGTTCTAAGTGTGTTTCCACATGCGCCATTCTTGTAGTGTTTGTTTCGAAAAGAAATAATGACGTCAATAGCTATATTTTACATAAAATCGTATAACTAATGATAAAATCGTATTCGGCAGCGATATTCAAAAAATCTTAAATACGTCCCGAAGTACTAAGGTACTCTTCTAATCTGCATGCCAAAAATCTACTTAACCCTCCCTCCAGCAGAATGTGGTAAACCCAAAGTTTCGCACAAAAATCGCCAACTTATGTTTCACCCTGATTCTTCTAGCAGGTGGCCGGAAATCTGTTAAGAACTGGAAGCTAAAGAGCAATTAGAGCATCTTTTCACTCCTGAAAATTTGAACAAAATCAGCCTGCTAGATTTTGAGTTATAGCTTTTCAAAAAGTGACCAAAAATTGGGGTGTTCGAGTTTGATTGACGCGTAGCTTATTACTAGTGTGACGACAAATAAACTTGAGAAAACCTTACTCATTAAGTATTATGTACATTATCCTTCAACAATAGCAAGTCATTTTTCTCTTCACCTGATGTAGTAAGTGATTTGTTTGGTTGATGCTTGTCTTCAATTTGGGTGCAGTGTGTATATGTTCACTGAATTTATGCAAACTTTGATATTTTATGTCATACCAGAAATAAATTTAGGAGGAAAAATATCAATAGGAACAAATGCCTGTTGGACTATTTCCAAACTGGATTTATGCAGGCGAGCTGAAAAATATTGACATTGCTTTCATGCGACACAATAAAACATGGATTTTCCATTTTCGTTATAAACCTTCAATTGATATAACTCAATAGTATAGAACTTTCATGATCATTTGGTTGTTTAACTATTTGAGTAAATAAGCACCAAGTATAGGAAAAACATGCTTTACTGAACTTCGAATAGTTATCAAAAAAAAGGTAGGTTGAATGTTAATATAAGTATCAAAATCGATTATTTGATAAGTTTTGAACAAAAACAATTAAGTTTAGTGAGTAGTAAAGCATTTGAAACTTTGGAAGTAGAAGATAGTTCAAATCTATAACTTTGGTATTTCAATCTTTTCTATGAAATCTAAGTGACTACGAAGTTTTTGAATTGAATCATTTTGAAAAGAAAACAAAAACCGTTCTCAGACGATACATTGAAATGTTTATTCATTTCTTCCTAGTGAGAAATTGTCCCGAATAAGTATATACCAACAATTTTAGCGAGCAGTAAATGTGCTCTCTCACTCAAGAACTCTTTTATTTGAATACTACACGCATTAGGAATTATATGGAAAATTCAATCAAGTTCTTACATTACAAATATTTTGCATTCTCTTATTTATAATCAGGGCACGCCAATGTAGTTATAGTTACTAAACATATGCATCACCGATGAAGCACATTCTGTTAAGCGTTTTTTCTACTAAGTTTTAACGATAATGTGCAAAAATTTAAAATCTAATAGAAAATGTAAACAAAATATGAGATTATATTTACCAATTTTTATCAAAAGCCGCCAAACACGCGTCCATATCAGCGAATGTAGAACAGCTCGAATTCACCGGATCGACGATCGATTTCGTGCCGCTAGACATAACGTTGCCTAAAGAAGTGTCAGTATAAAGTATAACACACACGCCACCCAGGCCCGAGCTTGTTGCCCTCTGGTGGTAAGGAAATACGTTAAAGGTTTGCTTGGAAATCGTTTGAAATTCGAGGACCGGCCGGCATCTGTGCCTGGTAAACTACTGTATAAAATTCTATAGTTTCTCAACTCTCATTTGTCATTTGCGATTGACGAAATTCTGACTGAAATTTGTTTAATAAGCTAATTAACATTTTAAATACAATGAGTCGTTTTTTCAATGACTAATACATTTTACTCCCCATCAAAAATAAGTACGTTTTATTCGTTAGTTAATTTATTCAAGATGATACAACGCATGTTTCAAGTGGAGCAGTATATAAAACTCACTGTGTTGTTAAAATAAACTCGTTATTTCAATGAAATCCCCGTACTTTTTATGAATAGACGTTTTATTTTTAAAGGTTGAGGAAGGTCGCTTGTGAATCAATAGATAATACGTTTATAGGTGCGTACTATGCAATGGATTCCTATTTACATGATTATGTGTTATAATTATTGTTGGAATAGAATCAGTAGGATTATTTAATCGAATATAGGCTTTCAATATTTGATATGATTGGCAAAAATAATTGAGAAAATTACAATAGTCGGTAGTTTGAGATATTTAATAGAGAACAAATAATTTCATTAGAAAATTATGAATATGCAAATGATCCTATAAAGTCGCTACGTTTAGTCATTTAAATTTGATGCTTTAAAACACGTAATTAAAGCTTTTCCTAAAATTTTCCACAAGCCAAACGAAAATTGACATTCACCAATCTAGTTAAACATGAAATTAAAACAATAGACGAAATACCAGTGCACACGACAGATATGCAGTCGAGATGCATGAAAATTCCATATCCAAGGCATTTAGGGCCGATACTTTTGCTCTCGATTAACGAATTTGATACGTTGTCAAAGTTTTGCATGGGCCAAGGTCTGTATAAGTATGATGTGGTTAGAGCACATTCAAAGCCCTGATTATTTTTAACGGCTGTCAAATGAGAGCAAAAGTACCGGCACTTAATGTTGAAAATGGTCATCACGAATTTAACAGGATACCCTTTGGATCAAAGAATGGTCCAGCAACATTCCAAATAGTGATGGATAATGTATTACTAGGATTACAGAATAGAATACGTCTTGTATATTGATGATTTAATAATTTTTTCCACTTCACTTTATGAACACATGAAAAATTTAAAGAGAGTATTTGAGAGACTCGAGAAGTTTAATTTAAAAATACATTTAGGCAAATCAGAATTCCCACACAAGACAGTCAATGTTTTTTAAAATATAAGTTTCTGAATCAAAAATATAATTGCGTTACCGCCGTTCAGAATCTGAAGTCCAGGACTGCACAGGGGTTCGACAATAACATAATTTATATGATAGATTGGTTAGTTCACTGAATTGTGTCATTTATAATATGAAGAATATAGACTTTGTGTCGAAACCAATGAAATAAAAATTTGATTCTCCAACCCAGAGTTTTCGACAGATATCTTTGCAATAATCTCTTCCCAATATTTGGTAAAAGATTGGAATAGGAAAAAAAAAAACACTAAAATTAAATCACTCTTCGACTAGAATGCAATCTATTTTATAAAAATGATAACAAAATATAACAGAAACAATGAAGTGAATACTATGTCACTCTAATAATTTAGTTTAAAGTAATTTGTATATTTTTAGAGACAAAAAAAAAAGGTTGTTATAATAATTATATGTATATGAACAATAATAATGGCTTATTTACCTATACAATTTTTCTATTAACTTAGGCCAATGCAATGTCACAATATGTTATGTTAATCTAAATCGTGTTATACATTTAATCAAATTATATACTTTTACATCTCTATAGATATCATTTAATTATGAATAATAGACATATTCAATGAATAACAGAACAACATCAAAACATACTATTATTCATCATTGTTCAAAAAGATAAGGGCTCAACTACGACTAAATAATCATTTTATTATCATCAGCTTTCTGTTGCCAAACAGTTATTTATAAATATACAAAACATACACCATATTCTATGTTATAGTGATTACCTAAGGTGATTAGGATAGAAACACTGCGGTCCCTCATAGTTATTAAAGAATCTTTGTAATCATGGCAAATTGAAACCAAATTAACTTTTGGCGAACATAATAAATGATGGCCCTGCATAATGCTTTTTTTTATTGTAAAAGCACCTATAATAGCTTAGTAAACTAAATAACGAAAATATATCTAACAAAAAAAAAAACTTTTTGGCACATAATAAATTAACAAAAATATTAAAATATATGGAGGTACCTTTATTCAGTTGAAAGCCTTGTTATTATCAATTATTTTTGGTAGCAATATTAGTTCTGTTAACAAGAAAACCTAATTTCATCGAACACAAAACGGCGGAACAGTCTTCAAAATGGCACCACCGAAAACTCGAACTTTCGTTTTGGTCCAACTAACTAGTACACCTTTACCACTTAGGGGTGCACCTCTAAGGAAACCACAGTTGTTACTTAATTCAACTAAAAGTAAACCCAAAGGTTTATTGACGTAACGCTCCAACGGTGACGCGTCACTTATAAAACGTTCTATAGGAGGGAATTTCTGGTAAGAACGATGAATTAAAGGCAAAGGGTCGTCATGGTCTTCAAGTGGTAAAGGAGGCACCAGCTTATGTTTAGAGAAGAATTCAAGACTTTCGTCCCAAATTTGACGTTTCTTAGTTGCCTTTTTTTCAAACAACATTGCTTGACGAAAGCTTTCATTATCGGTAAAGAATTTATCTTCAAACAAACTTTGTGTGGTAGATTTAGTGTCTCTTTTGAAATGCTTATTTGGACTAAACGGATTATCATATAAGTTATGTCTTGGAAATGTAGATCCTAGGACAAAATTAAAACCTGATACATCTCCTTCAATGCCATCATCAAGGCCTTTGTCGAAGTCTGTGTATTCTTGTCCCACGACTATATCTCCTCCGGAGTCGATCACAATATCCTTTAACTGAAAAATAATGTTTGTTATCAATGATTTTTTTTTTACAGGTAAGCTCATGTATGCAAAGCTTTCTCTGAGCGGTAAGTTACTCACTTTTGGTACGTGTCCGTTAGCAGCCAGCTTCCCATCCAGATACAAACTCCAAGCTGCATGAAATGAGGACCAAGATTGACAAACATGATACCATCGATTTTCTGCAAAGTGTACCGTTGCACTGAATATCGGTACGCCAAGTATTTCCAAATTAATCTGGTGTCCTGCAGGTGTTATCCATACTCTTATCAGACGTTTTTCCTCATCTTCTGAAATTTGAAAATAAAATGTGTTATGTAGTTTACAAAGATGTATGGCAAAACGACAGGATTTTCAGCTTTGGCAAAATTTGCAAGTAATGACAATCTTTGTGATGTTTTATTTCGATTTATCTCCAAGCAACCTTCTGAGTTTCTTAATTTCTACTGCAAGGTAGAATGGTCGGTGTGCAGTTTCGTCTACCCTGAATATAGTTGTAGGTTAAACTGGGTATTTAGGATGTCAAATCCTATTTGGGAATGGAAATTGTTCGTTTTTTTCTCTTTATTTTTGTTTTCTCTTATTCTACTTGAATTTCGCGTGCTCCATGCCTAAGAATTGATACGGCTTTGCTAAATTTGGCTTTTAAAAATGCGCGCGTTAAACACTGAAAAAAAAATACCAGAAAAGTCCTTACACTGCCGGCAAGTAAATCAGTCACTAAAAAAACTCCGCCCACTTCGTGTGGTTCGAGAAAATAGGTCCGCGGTTTTTCATTTGCCGCGACCGGTTTAAATCAAGACGGTTTCGTTGCACTCCTACGCATTGGACTTGAACTTCCTGAAAGAGCTGGCCAGCTGAGTGGAGTTTAGAAGTAAAGCCAGGTAAGGTGAAAAAATATCCTTTTTTTCGGTATCTGTCAATTTAATTCCAAATCTTTCATCGAATATCATTCTATCAGCAACCTTTGGATGTCCCAGTCTTAATTTCGCACAGTCGGTTCGAACTGGGAACTTCCAGCCATGGAGAAATCTGAGTTACTGCCAATGGATCCTACTAGAATTTCTTGATTCTAGATAATTGTTGTATTTCTTTTCGCCTTTCCCAAAGATTCACTAAAATATTCGATAACTTCTTCGCCATTCTGATAGGAGAAAAAAGTTCCTATTCCACTTCAGGTGTCTAACACTAACAATCCTTCAAAGGAAGCGGTAAAAGTGAATCTGATTTTAAGCTTCACGATCCATGGTGATTGTTGACATTCTGACAACCAATCAAAGTGCTTGTGTCTAGACTATTATGGATCTCTATCCATTTCTTTTGTCATGAATCTAGTCTTTCAGCAAAAAGCCATGTACTAACCCAAACAATATTGAAAAAATATTCGCAATTACTTTGAATATTATATGGACAATGTAACTATATATCATGAAAAAACTTAATCAGTCACACCCGTGGGTATCTGTGAGACTATAATTAAATTACATTCCACTTTCTTTATTAAATCGTGATTTACCAAATTACTAGGTTTTTGAAATTTATGTCGATCATGTTTTAACATAATATTGTTATATAATATACATATTTACAAACAAAAAAATACAGAATAGGTAAACGATCTGGGATGAAGGTAGATGGTTGAGAAAGTTGAACTCATTTAATAAAATTACACACTCGAAAAAATCAAGTATGCAATTATTTGTGATGAGAGGTGAACAAGGATAGAGCACTTGAAAAACAATGACTTTAAAAATTTCTAAATCAATAACAGTATCACAAGAAATCTTTGATTATTGCAGAAGTTAGAAATGAATCCTTTTTTTTTGAAAGATGATTGCGTGTCCTTTGGTAAGTGCGGTTTTAAGGGATTTGGATTTTTGATCTGCTGTATCTCCTTTTGAGATTTTCCAATGAGATATAATAGTCATTTCCGCGTCAATCACGCCATGTCGTATTTGTCAGTCTGATGATAAAAGATGCAAAGCTATTCTTCATTTAAGATATACTATACTTTAATTATACTGTTGATATTTTATGGTCTATTATCTACTAATTAATATTTATATTGTTGTAAAATCTGTATTTACTTACTCGAATATGACAGTAACGGATGATTGTATGTTAAGTTATTACTTCTCATCCATATGCAAAAGGTATAATCTGTTATTTCTGGAACGTCGACGATGTATCTGAGAAACTGAAAAATAATCGAAGTCAATAAGTGTGTCGATTTTGTAATTTCCAGAAAAAAATATCCTAACGGAGAATATTTTGATGCAATGTTTTTTTTTAGAATTCGCTGTGGTTTTAAAGATAGACATTTTCAGCGATTCTTATCCCAGTATAGGACTACAATCCCTGGAAATTTCAGCTCATTTGGACTTATAGTTTGAGAAATAAAATTGTGTTAAGTAATTTGAGGTGATTTCTGAATTTACAACGCATTACTTGTGCATTACGACGCATTACTTGTGCATTACGACGCATTACTGGAATTATGCTGGAATTACAGGCATTACGGTGGCATAACTCGGTATTACCAGGTATTACGCTGACATTACAAGGCATTACCTACGAATATGGCGGAATTACGCTTGAATTCAATGGAATTATGGTTGATCTAGTGGTTGATTTTTAAGGTTTTAATGCACATACAATAATTGTATGTATCTGGTGAGGTATTAATCGAGCATGTATTATTTTATTAACCCTCAAATTTTTCAAACATCCACTGGAAGATCATATTTATATTACTTACCTCAATATTTAAAATAATTTTGGGAAAGTTTGTGTATCTATAAAATTAAAATAATTTTTTCTTATTTTGACATTTAAAGTGACACTTTTCAAAACTCGTTGACGTTATCAAATGTCTTACTTTTCATCACCAGTTACGAAAAGTAAAATTTTTCGCAACTTGTGATGAAAAGTAAATTTCACCATTAGTTGCACAAAATACAGGAACAAAATCTGTGATACTTTTGGGGCTGAACTACTTGGAGTACTTTGTTGTTATTATATTCTTTGTACATACGTACATATTAGGAAGATTTAATTTCATTCAAATTAGTTACATTATAATATGACAATGTATGGAAAAAAAAACTAATTAGTTTGACTGTTGTTAAGCTAGAAACAATAGAAAATTATGAGCTTTGTTGGGGTTTGAAAAAAGGACGGTTCTAGAACTGTTCAAAACAATCGCACGGTTCAGTTTTGGAATTTTTGATAGCCGAGCCTTTGTCATTTTGTTGATTGATAGACTGTGCGATTATTTAGAACCATCCTTTATTCTTTGCTATGATCTAGAAATTTCATATAGCTTCAAGAGAATGAGGTACAATCTGTAGACAAGGCTTACATTTTTTATGGACCAATAAAATCATTGGATCAGAACCATTTGAACTCTTGAGACAGGATATCGAGGGATAAATAATTAACCATTGTAAAAATCTACCAAAATGGAAAACAATATGTATTTAACAAGTTGAAACGGTTTTTGCTGGAGTTTTTGTAAAATAGATTACGAGAAAAATTTAGCATTTTATTCAGATTTAGGACCGGTTTATTTACCTGCTGATAAACTGTCAGGTAGGCAATCTGACGGGAAAAAAAACGTAGTCTGTAATCCCATTGTTCTGTTCGGCCAGTTATCGGCTAACCAATGGAATTATAGAACGGTGAATTTATCTTGCAGATAGTTACCAGCAAGTTTATCTGAAGATGAATAACCAGAGCCTTAGAAAAATAATTATCTATAGAATAATATTAAATATGTAGAAATTATAGGATGTGATGGTTGTTTTCAACAATGTATAATGGTTTGTTTTTCTGGTCGGTTTATGTAAAACTGTGAAACATATAGCCTAGGTATACATAATTATAATGGCATTACATAACATTTCATGGCATTATTATGTAATTACTGGCATTACATTGGAAATTATCAGAATTACTCATGTAATGCGCAATACATGTACAAATTTTGGTCCAGTTGTTACCCCCTCGATGGCTGCGGAATGTCCACCCAAAAGTTCCGCAACAATCCATTTATTTGTATTTGAACAATAACTTATCATATAAAGTCAGAATTTGTAAGATTATCCACTTTTTGTCAATTTGCCTTTTAACAGGAATTAGTAATGTTACTTTACCAAACTAGTAACATATTGTGACAAGTTATTGAAGTACAAATGAGTGGATTGTTGCGGAACTTATGGGTGGACCTCTGCGGAACGAGCGTAGCGAGTTCCGCAGTCATCTGTTCATCAATATGTTGTTTAAGTACGATACTTACCTGACTTACTCAAATGTGTGTTCTTAGAGCAGGTAAAGGTGAAGGAGTAGTAACATAGAGTTGGAAAATGGAGCGGTTTTATTCCAGGTATTTTGGCACCAAAAAAATGGCGATATGGGCAATTCAATGCTTTATCTATATTTTGGTGCCAAACACCTGCCAAAGACTTGGCTTCACTTTAGTTTCATAAGCAGAATTGGCGTTCCTACTCCTTATGTCCGTAGGACAATGCTTTACCTGCTCTAAGTGTGAGTTATTCTCATTAGTATAAAAACTACACGTTTCAGGTGAGTGTCTTATTTGAACAGTTTAACAGTATATTGGTGAGTAGATGGCTGCGGAACTCGCTGCGCTCGTCCCGCAGAGGTCCACCCATAAGTTTCACAATAAACCATCTATTTGTACAGGGTATTTTTTATATATTAACACCCCACCTACAGCCTTTACCTTAACAGGTAGAAGAAAGATGTAAATACAGTACAGTCACAGCATATACAAAAACAATCAGCAGGCTAACTTGAGTGACATCCCGTGTAATAAAGGAATTCATTGTCGGGATGTCACTAGCGGCCATTTTGGGATACGAGACAGGACCTGATTAACAATAATTTAGATTTTTTCTTTCGGGTCACAGAGTCGTATTGGCTTTAAATAAACTAATTTAATATTACTTACATATAATAATATTTATCCTTACTAATTTATTAATATTTTTAAATATACAAGAATGATAACTGATTACACCATAAATGACAACACGAATATACTAAAATGACTTTGAAAATCATAACTAAAATTCCGCTCTACACCGCACGCCTATGACCTCTGTCAGAAATAAACAAATAAATTAAAATGTCGGCGTCCCTGCCGTTTAATGACAGGATGGTATCCCCTAATGGCGGCGTGCGCAGAAAAGATGCGCGTGAGAGTTAGCCTGCTGATTGTTTTTGTATATGCTGTGGTACAGTTTTGGTTGAATTTTTAGAAACCATGGTCAGAAACAAAAATTAAATGTCAGAAATGTGAAATTTTGCATGCTTCCAACTTTTTTTAAATGAGATGCACTATATTTTATTTTATGTATATTCTTAAAGAGTACAATGCTCCGATTCCAAAAATATAGTTTGTCTATATTTGATTGAGTAGTCTCTCATATATTCGACTCCAAATATTGTAATAGCTATTTACCTAACAAGTGCGGAAAATAAATTTTTCCGCACGCGGCTGCCGTTCACCGAACGACGCGTAGCGAACCCCCCCCGCCCCTATCCTACCAAAACGATCGAGACATACTTAATAGCCTGTTGACTAGAAAAGGACAACAAATAATGCGTAGGAGTTGTGTGTGTTCGCGGTCGCACTCCTTCGGTCCTTCAATATTTTTGCAGCGGACTATACTTATAATAGTTGTATTCCTTTCAAGAGTTTGGAACACTCGAGCTATTCGCTCCGGTGTTAGTCAACATGATTTTAAAGGGAAAGATGCGGAGTGCAACAAACACTTTTCGAAAGGAATAAGCGCGTAACGCCCCGGAGCTGTTCCGGAGCTCCTCCTAGGTGTGAAGGGAATACAACTAATGTAATATGGGAACGGCCGTCAGATAAACTTGTTCTGCTCCAAAGTGAACAAGGAACGGTTTGGAATAGAAAGAAAGAGCAAGAAAATTGGATAAAGGAAGGCCAACAACCCTCAACTAACAGGATGGCTTTTCCCCATAAAGCCTCACTTGCGCAAAATTCTCTCTTTTTTGACATTGCTTCGACAATTTGACATTTGATACACGCATAAAACGTCAAATTGTCGAAGCAATGTCAAAAGAAGAGCGAATTTCGCGCAAGTGAGAATGAGGCATAAGGCGTACGTTCGCTTTTCGACTAGTCGTGACGTCACTGAAGTCTTGAGGTCTACATTGACGTCAAAATGACACAAATAGTGGGGAGTTTTCGCGTGGACATGGCAGACACTTTCAGCTAGATAAGCCATTCTATTAAGATTTAGGGTTCTTGAAGGAAGGCCAAGTTTTTGAATTCACCAATTGCTTATGCGCATTTCTCTTGATGAGGAGTAACCTATCCTTGTTTTGCTGCTGTCAAATGACAAGGACAGCATTACATCGGTGAAAATGCGCATATGTCATTGTGGATTTCAAAAGCTTGCCAAGCCAGTAAATCAGTAAACTGAATTTTGATTTTGGAACGATTTGCAGCAAATACCATCGTCACCAAAAGTAACTGGGTACATTACTGACAGTTAAAAAAAGATCACCGCCATAAATAGCTATTTCGGAAAAATAAAAGGCTATCCGGGCTATCCCTATAATTTACGACGTCTGTCAAATTTGTTCACTTGAAAATAGGCGCCATCTTTGTCTCATCGATTTGCACTGTCATGTCAATATAAAATCATTCGGAACACATTTCACTGCTCCGAACATGGGCGCTCGAGCAAACGAGCTTGATTATCGGTATTTATTTATGACATAAATAACTATTTTTGCAAGCGATTCCCATTTGTAAATTCAGTGCGTACTTAGACTATTTCTGTCTTTTTCTAGAAGCACGTGAAAAAAAAAAGGATCGAAATTAGTTTTAACTAACAGGGCTTCTTGCGGGCTCTGTTTGTCTGTTTGTACCAAAGTTACACCAGTCTGCACCAGGTGCACCAAAAAGTCAGTTTGTCTCTGTCAGACCCATACATAAAAAAAATATAGGAATAAACCTTGGATAAACAAACACGTTTGGTGTAGAAAGTGTCGGTTGGTGCCTTGTTGGTGCGAATAAACAAACAAAGCTAGTGAAACCAGGGACCACCGTTCTCTTCATAGCCATTATACTCAAATGCTTGAAAATCAGTTAGGTACAGGTGCATCAGGAAAAAGAGGCGAGGAAAATGAGAGCAGCTTCAGAGCGCCTGATTGCTCAAAGCGTGGCACCCGAAAGCAGCTCAGGCTCAGGTAATGAAGCAGAACTCGCCGATCATGGAGCAAAACGGAGCGAAACTCGGAGAACAGAATGAATATGATCAAACAAAATTTTAACTGGTGTAAGGGGGCTAGAAGAGATTCTTAGGAGCTCGTAGGTCATTCCAGGTAATGGAGCAAAACTTCCAAATTTTCACGTGTGTTGCAAGGAGAGATTCCTGGGAGCTGTCTAGTTCATTCCAGAGCCGCTTTCGGGTGCAGTGTGCGAAGTACGAGCATTTCACGCCCATTATACTCAATGCGCTTTGCACTCGAACGCTTGAAAATCAGTTACAGGTGCTTCAGGGGAAACAGGCGAGGAAAGTGAAAGCAGCTTGAGAGCGCCAAACTATGTTCGCTCGAATGTGTAAAATTGAAGGCGGAGTATTTCGGACTAACTCGAAATTTCAAGTTTCAAAATTTTCACTGGGGGGCAAGAAGAGATTCTTTGGAGCTCCCTAGGTCATTCCTGGTAATGGAGCAAAACTCGCCGATTATGGAGCAAAACGGAGCAAAACTCGGAGAACAAAATGAGCATGAGCAAATTAAAAAAATTTCACCGGGGGGGCTAGGAGAGATTTTTGGGAGCTCTGTAAGTCTCTCCTGGTAATAGAGCAAAACTCGCCGATAATGGAGCAAAACGGAGCAAAACTCGGAAAACAAAATGAACATGTTCAAATTTAAAAAAAAATTCACCGGGGGGGCTAGGAGACATTTTTGGGAGCTCTGTAGGTCTCTCCTGGTAATAGAGCAAAACTCGCCGATTATGGAGCAAAACGGAGCAAAACTCGGAGAACAAAATGAGCATGTTTAAATTTGAAAATTTTTACCGGGGGTGGGCTAGGAGAGACTTTTGGGAGCTCTGTAGGTCTCTCCTGGTAATGGAGCAAAACTCGCCGATAGTGGAGCAAAATGGAGCAAAACTCGGAGAACAAAATGAGCATGATCAAATTTCTGAATTTTCACTGGGGGGGGCTAGCGTTAATTCAGCCCCCCACCCCCCACCTAATAGGCCACATAGTCTCTCCACTGTAATGGAGCAAAAATCGAAATTAGTGGAGCAAAATGAGAGCAAAATTATGGGATAATTTTCATCCAGAAATTTTCTATGGGGGGGGCTAACTTAACTGACCCGTATTATACCTAAAGTTTACAAGAAACAAGGAAATCAGCAAATTGAAATTTTCCATTTACGCGGTGTTTGATCCGATTTCCAAAATTTTGGAGGTGCTGAGCGTCAAGTTTTCCCTAATTTATCAGCAAATAATGGAATAAACGTTTCAAGTTGAATGCATGTAAAGTTCTACATTTCTATTATCAATAAAAATGCATATATATTATCGATTCGAGTATAAAATACCCTCTTCTATAAGCACGAACCCCGATAAGAGATGTTTCCGTAATATCGAAAAGCATTTTATAAGATTACAGTGTGCTCTGAAGTATAAAATAGAATAATTTACAAGACGTTTCTTGTTTCAAGAGCCATTTAATCCTGTATTCTTCCAGTGAATGATCATAACATTAAATTACAAGTAAACGAGAGAAAATAAATTTGATATGGCTCTAATTCTTTTTAAACGCCATCGACAAATGTTTTAGGTCTTTCGTTTGACCTAGTTTAGAGCATATTATATTTTACTCAAATTGTATTAAAAACCATTCACTTCTATTCGATGGAAAAGTTCAACTTTGTTGTTTTTCTTCAATTAACGCAGAAAAAGTAATTGTCTCCAATAAAATCATTCGTAATAAGCAAACAGATTACTAGTTATATTCCAATGCAATTGCATAAGTTTATACATACAATAATTGGGACGTGCTGATTCTTATTTACGATTGCATTTGATCTGATCTTTTCCTTATTTTATTATGTTATTACCTGAATATATCCTTTTTGGGTAAACGATGCTTTGGGTATAAGGGCTTTTGGTGCATGAAAGTGATCTTCAAGAATCGCTAAATCTTGATGTGGTTCCAAATATAGGGATTCGTGAATTTCAATTGTGAGTAGCAAACAAATTATTGTTGATAATAATTTTGAATTTGATTCCATTGTAAATATCCTGGAATAAAGAAGGGAAAAAAATTAAATAAAGTACATTTAATAAATTGTTGCAAAATTGGAATAATGTGAGTCAATGGATACATGAAGAAGATGATAGATCAAATAGACTAAGAACTAATAACTTTCTTCTGATACAAATTGATTGAAATTTACATTTTTACACTCGAGTAAAGTTGATTTATTACATTATCAACAGTAACCAATTGTTTTAATATATTAACTAATGTATATTTACATATGTTTTTGTAATTATTATGATTTTATAGTTTACAAAGTAATAATGGTGGTGCACTAAACATAATCACAATATTTATTGAAAATATCAAAACGCAAGGTGCATGTTACAATGTAAAAATGCCCATAACTTATGTACCTAATTCCCTAATTGTGGAATTTGGAAATCGTATTTTTTTTTTTTTGAAATTCAATAATAAATTATCAGTGGAAATTTCAAACCTTTATTCTATAGTGAATCAAAGGCTCTTTCTTATTTGATTTCTTGACAATTTTCTTTTGGTGGGCAGCAAAATTAAATAACTCGCTGAAATCTGAATAATCATTTTAATTTAATAAAAATGTATCAGAACATTTATTGATAATGATAAGATTTACCAATCTGTATCAAAGAATATCCAGTTGATAATCGAGTTTTTAGTTAGTAGGAAGGAAATTAAAAATAAATTAAAAAACTTTCTTACCCTTTCTTTCTGCATCAGTTATTAATTTTTCCCGAGTGCTTTCACCTCATTTAAAAAAAAAAACCGAATTATAGCAATCAAGTCTAATTAAACTACCGTAGTTTATACCTGAAAGGCATTTTAATACGAAACTATTCTAAATGTAAATGACTTCGATGCTCTCGCAGTCACCACCTATCCGTATCTTTAACGTTTTCACACTAAAGCAAAGAACTTGACCAACAAAACGTGATACCCCGACTAATAATAATAAACGGTTCGCTAATCACGGTAAATGAAGAATTTCTTTTCCGAATTTTGTGGGATTTTACAACAACCAACTTATGTACCTACAAACCATTATCTAGACATTTCTTCAAATTCAACTTTTTTAGTGCAGATGCCGTTTCCGGAAATTGAAAAATATTTCAATTGCTCTTATAATTATTATTGTTGTTTCTCGAATGTGGATCAGGCAACCAAAGAAAATGCACACAGAAAAGCCCATTATTTCTTAGACTAATAATTATTGAATAGATAAGCACAACAACTGAAAAGCCGGCAGTGATTATAGATATGTTTGGAAAGCTTTTGCGGAATTCTTCCACTAGAAAGAAATACGAGGAAAAACATGAACCGATAAATGAGTGATGATTATCAAAACAAAGTAATCAAAGAAAGAAGAAACATAGAAAAATACATCAAAATAATAATTTTACAAAGTAGGTACCTATAAGAATATTTTAACAAATAATTAAAGTAATCGAAACTATAAGCCATATTTATTTTAGTAGGCAAATAAATATCTTGATAAACGATAAATACATAATACTAATGTATAAAGGAAAACGAAATTTGAATTCCATATTCTGTATGTGTTTACAATGCTACAATGCACTCACATCTGATTAAAAACGCTGAGAGACAATTTTTCTAATTTTTTTTTTGGTTTAGTTTATTATTACGGGCCCTAATTTTGGAGGGCCCTAGGCACGTGCCTTATGTGCCTATGTGCCTTATGTGCCTAGGGTGCCTAATAAAGTTCTTGCATATCTATTCCTTTTGCTCATTTTAGATGCTTCAATAACTAGTTGTTTTGATACACAATTTTTTTTCTACCGTCTGTCTATACTTACCGCAAACGTTTAGTTGCCCAATAAAACTTTTTAACCAGCGTAAAATTGGCTTTGAACTGATTTGCCATTTCACAACAAAGCCAAGTGCATTCATTTTTTACGATTCTTATGTAAAATTCTGGTAAATGTATTAGCCACCTGGTGTACGCAATGTAACAATATGTTTTCTTTAGCTAAGAACTTTTCATGTAATACCATTCTATAGTCCTCATGACTTGTGACCTGATTCTTTATTATACTTGTGATTGTGCTTGCTTTATAAATATTTCCCTTTCAATTCCCCCTCATTTTAGAAAAAAAAAGGATAATTTATTAATAAATGAAATGTAGGTATCAGAATGCAAATTACTTATAAATTATTACAATATAATATTACTTGTGCACATATATGTCAGATGAATAGGCGTTTAATACACATTTTAAAAAGTACCTAGATGATAAATATGTACCTACTACATTTTTAATAGAAGAGAAAGGCAAATAACACTTTATAAATATAAAAGTATAAAAAAACATTATTGCAAAATTGCTTTTTATCTAAAATTAGAAAATCGTTTGTTATAAAAAACACAATTTTTAAATTCAAAATTGCACGAAAGAGTTTGCAATAATTTATTATTCAACCGTGAGCATTAGATTCGTTTACAAAATATTTCGCCAAATATGTCTTTATGTATATATTTCCCACGCTCTGTTTATTCAAAATAAATTGGATTTTAACGTTGAATTAAATTCAAATATGTAAGTGAGTGATTAATCAAAACATTTTTAGGGCCAAAGCATTAAAAAATAATTTCAGGAAAACTATTTAACGCATTCAATTTTTGAAACTGCCTTTGTGGAGGCTTTACAAAAGGTATTATACGTTGAAGATGAATGCTCACTCTGGACTTCTAGAGCCCTCTCCAGTCTCCATGCAAACTCGAAAGTTGGAAGGGCGATTATATGGGATAATGTTTTCTTTGAAACCGGAAAATAGTCGATGGGATTTTTTGGGTTTTTGGTTACAGAATGAAGTTTTTGTTTGGAATAAAGAAACTTTTTTATGTAAAATTTTCGGCAGTTATTTTGTGGTACCTACTAAGGGCCGTTATTTCAATTTTACCTTAAAATCAAAACTTGTCTTAGGTACCCTGAAAGTTAAGGGTATTAGTTTTCTTTAGGTGATTCTTAAGATCCACCTGGAATTAAGGAAAATTTGGTATATTGGTTGAATTTTTATAAGGAATGACTTAATGTTATTCTGTATCTCAAAAGGCGACATTGAAAGACCGGCCCTGAGACCCTAATGTATGAAATTTTAATTGCAATTTTGGATATTTCTAATGGTATTCAATGGCACACACAAATAAGCTAAAGTTACAGAGATTGTAGTCCACCACTGGGATAAGAATCGCTGAAAATTTCAGCTTTCCATCTCTAATAGAACAAAAGTTATGACCTTTCAAATTTTTCCAAAATAAATCAGCTAAAGTTATCTTCTTACTAAAACGATGAAATTTCAAAAAAAATTTTGTTCAGATTTTGTGTCATAATGGTCCTTTGGAATCCCCCGAACTCCATATACTAAATTATTCCGAGATTGGGAGCCAGATTCTCTCCCAGTGGCGTACACTCGATCGACCTACCAATAGAGAACCATACGAAAATAAACAAGACTCAATGATTATTCAAAAATTGTACATAGGATTGAATTCATACTAACATGGAAAAGTTGAGGGGGTAGTCAGAAACAGGAAAATACCAGTGACGTACACTTCATTGACCTACTGTAGTATAACATACCCGGGTTCGCTCAGTAAGATTGAACGATGAGAATTTTTATTACCTTCTAAACAACAAATATTCTGAAAAACGAAATGAAAAACAAATAGGACTTACGTTGTGGAAACTTACTCAATTTTACTTACTGGAGATGCGCCTGAGATAGCAAATATTTGGGAAATTTAAGGGAAGTTGTTATATATAAAAGAAACAAAATATTTGTCTATCTACTTTATTATTAAAGTAAATCGTACCGTTCTCATCCTGGAACTAACGAGGGGAAAGAGCACGGCAGAGAAACCCTCGATCTAACATTCCTCAAAAATCGAAACATATTGTGTCATTTCAATAATTGTGAGTCATTAATTCAATAATTTAGGTCAATGAAGAAGTTTGAATTAGGTACTGTCCCTGTTCTTGTGCTAAAATTTCAATTACACACACTACATTCAATCAACACTACCTATAATCAATACTGAAGAGGTTTTTTGTTAGTTAGCCCATCTGTGGCAGGTACTGAGGTCCCTGATTATGGTAACTCACAGCTATAGTTGTTTTTGAGCCAATTTGCTAGGATATTCTCTCGTCAGGGTAAGAAAATGTTAGTAAATTCAACCAGGCCCTAATGCACGTTCTGAATCCAAAAATCAAAATCCTAGCACAAAAAGACAGCACATAATTTCTCAGGTTTTAATTTATGTTGAATATTTAACATTTATTGCGTAAGTAATTCTAATCCAGTCAACATCGATTGTGCATACACTACTTTATATTCCAGGTAAATCCACATGCAAAAACTTATGTCACTGTCTACATATTTCATAAAAATTATTATCATTCAATATACTTGTCAATATAGTAGCAATAGTAAAATACTTCTATGTTTAATTTTCCACAAATTTACAATAAATTACTGAGATTTGAATAGGTTATGGGCCCAGTCACCAAAAGCTGTGAAAAATACTGTAACTGGAGTGATTTGTGTGGTTAAATTTTCGAGAAGAATCAAATTTGTGGTAAAACTAAAACAACTAAGAAACAAGTTCGAGATGACGTCAGCTTTATTACCATTTCCTCAACTAACAAGTGATACCTACAACAACTGGAAATTTAGAGTTGAAATATTACTAGAAAAGGAAGGCGTGGAAGAAGTGTTAACTACCAGTCAAGAGGACTATGAAAAACTTGATATTACCAATAAAGTTAAGTATGACAAGTCAGATACAAAAGCAAAATGTATTATAGTACAATACATGACCGACAAGCATCTGGAATATATAAAAGATGCAAAAACTGCAAAAGAAATGCTCCAGAGCTTGAAAAATGTTTTTGAGAGAAAGAGTACTTTCTCAAAGCTGTATGTTATGAAAAAGTTACTTAAGTTAAAGTGTACCAGTGACGAACTTCAAGAACATTTTATGCTTGTGGAAAAACTGCTTCGAGAATTAGAAGGAGCTGGAGCAACACTAGACGAGAGCGATAAGATATGCTATTTGTTGTTAATCATGCCTGAAAAATATGATACAGTTATAACTGCAATCGAGACTGTTACAACAAATATTTCCATGGAATTTGTCAAGAGCAGACTTTTAGATGCTGAATTAAAATTCAAAGATTATGAAAAGCAAGAAAACATTTCTGAATCTGCATTTTATAGTAAGAAAATGCCAATAAAATGTTATGAATGTGGTGAAAATCATTTCTTACGTGATTGTCCTAATAATGGAAATAAAAATGATTGCTCTCGTGAGTACTTTTCAAGAGGTCAATATAGAAACCGAAGTAGAGGGCGAGGATATAGAAGTGGAGTCAGGCAAGCAAATTTTTCTACTGATGACAAAAATGAAGATGGAGATGGAATAATATTTCTGTCAGAAGTTTTAAGTGCAAATGTACTAAAATTGGAAAATAGTTCAAGAATTGACTTTATTCTGGATAGTGGGGCAACAGATCATCTAGTTACAGAAAACATGGAAAAACACATGACTAACGTTGTAAAACTAGACAACGAGTTACAAATTAGAGTGACAAATGGAAATTCATTGAGCGTATGTAAAAAAGGTAAGCTGACTGTGAATTATAATAATAAAAAAATAGACTTTCATGCATTAATAGTACCAGATTTGACATATAATCTACTAAGTGTCAAGAAAATTAATGAAAAACGAAATCAGGTACTATTTACTAAAGAAAAGGCTATTATAAAAACAAAAGGAGGCACAAAAATAGAATGCATGACAGCTGGAAACCTTTACATAGCTAGATTTGAATTATTGAACGAAATATGCAACTTAACGGTAACAGGAGAAATTTGGCACAAGAGGTTAAGACATTTATCTGAAGTTTATATGAAAAAAATGAAACTCCCAACACATACCAAAATATGCAGTGCTTGTATGGAGGGTAAGGCAACAAGGCAACCGTTTGAAACTCTTGATTTGCCAAGGTCTAATGCAGTTGGAGAGTTTCTATATTCAGATATTGGAGGACCAGTCAGAACACTTACAGATAATAACGAAAAGTATTACCAAACCATAATAGATGACCATTCTCATTTTGTAAGTGTTTTTTTATTAAAAAAGAAGAGCGAAGCACAAAACAATTTAATGAATTATATCAGAGAACAAAAAAATCAAGGCCGAAGAGTATTAAGAATTAGAATGGATAATGGGGGTGATTACACATCTGCCGAATTGCGTAACTTTTGCAAACAAAAGGGCATAGCCATAAAGTGTCAGTATACATTACCTTATACTCCCCAGCAAAATGATGTAAGTGAACGAGCCAACAGAACATTACTTGATAAAGTTAGATCAATGTTTGCAGAAACAAATCTCCCTAAACATTTATGGGGAGAAGCCATAAGAACTGCTGCTTATCAACTGAACAGATCTCCAACCGCTGCTTTAAATTACAAGATTCCTGTTAGTATATACTATGGAAAAACAGACCTTAGCAGATTAAGGATTTTTGGCAGTAAAGCTTGGGCATTAAACCTACCAAATTCTGGAAACAAACTTGAAACGAGAGCAGAATCATGTCGTATGGTTGGATATACTACAAATGGATATCGTTTATGGAATCCAAAAACGAATGGAATTATCGTATCTCGTGATGTTAGATTTGATGAGACTGACATAGTGCATGGACTAATTCAAGATGAAAAAGAAGAAGAAAATTACGAAAATACTGAAGACAATGACCATAAAAAAAATTAATGATGATGAAACAACAAACAATAAAAGAATAATAAAATTGCCAACAAGATTTAATGATTATGAATTATATCACGCCAACGTCATTGATCACGTCTATTGTTTATTGATAGAAGACGAGCCTAAAGATTATAATCAAGCAATAAATACCGGACAAGAATGGAAGGATGCAATAAATAAAGAGTTAGAGGCTCACGAAAAATATGGTACATGGGAACCAGTATTATTGCCGGAAGGCAAAATGCCAATTGACACACGTTGGATATTCAGAACTAAACAGAATGGATTAAAAAAGGCACGTCAGATATCAAACGATAAGAATGTTTATATCTCATGCAATGAACAATACTTGGGAAATTAGGCAACTTGATATTCCTACAGCCTTTTTAAATGGAAATTTAAATATAGATGTTTACATAAAAATCCCAGATGGTGTGAAAGTGGACAAGAAATATGACTCATTAAAGTTGAAAAAGGTACTATATGGATTAAGGGAAGCTCCAAGATTGTGGAACGAAAGATTTCATGAATTTGCAGAAAAGTATCAGCTAAAAAGATCAGGAAATGACTTTTGCCTTTATATTGGAGAAGACGTATGGCTATTACTCTGGGTCGATGACATTATTTTGACAGGACCAAATCATTTGAAAATCTTAAAGGCATTAGAGGTAGAATTCAATGCTAAAGATTTAGGAAAACTTCATAATTTTCTTGGTATGGAAATAATGGACAAAAATGGTCAGAAATGCATAGGTCAACCCACTTTAATCAAGAAAATGCTTGCTAAATTTAATTTAGAAGAATGTAAATCTATATATACTCCAATGGAACCAAATTTCCAAATTCAAATACAAGAAGTTGACACCAATGTACCATATCGAGAACTGATAGGGTCATTATTATATGTCGCAATAATTAGCAGACCTGATATATCATTCTCTGTAATATATCTTAGTAGATACCTTGACAAACCAACACAACAACTATGGACAGCTGCAAAGAGAATACTGAAATATCTTAAACAAACGATTAACATGGTTCTGATTTATGAATCAAATACTACAGACAGACCAGAAATTTTAGCATATAGTGACGCAGATTGGGGAGGAGATCAAACTGATAGAAAGAGTATAAGTGGATGTGCAGTATTTTATAACAGAAATTTGATTTCATGGATATCAAAGAAGCAAAATGTTGTGGCACAATCCAGCTTTGAATCTGAATATTTAGCTAGTGCTTTAACGGCTTCGGAACTTCTTTATCTACAAGGCATTTGTAGAGATTTTGGACTTGGAAACCCAACAACAACTTTATTATTGGATAATCAAAGTGTCCTTCGATCCATCGAAAGCTTTGAATAGCAAGAGATCTAAACACATTGACATCAAAGCACACTTTATAAAAGATGTTGTAGCCAAAGGATTAATAGAAGTGTTCTATGTTTCCTCAAATAAGAATATTGCAGACATATTAACAAAACCTCTTGTGAAAGAGAAATTTATATTTTTTAGAGAAAAGTTGAATGTTAAATAATTAAGGTATTTTGATTTGTCAATATTTTGTTTAGTGTAGATTACATTTTTTTTAGGTATTTTTTTTTATTTACAATTTGAAACTTTTATATTGTATACAATGTTTAAATTGAGAAGGGGTGTTGAATATTTAACATTTATTGCGTAGGTAATTCTAATCCAGTCAACATCGATTGTGCATACACTACTTTATATTCCAGGTAAATCCACATGCAAAAACTTATGTCACTGTCAACATATTTCATAAAAATTATTATCACTCAATATACTTGTCAATATAGTAGCAATAGTAAAAGACTTCTATGTTTAATTTTCCACAAATTTACAATAAATTACTGAGATTTGAATAATTTACTTATCGGTGTTGTTTACAGCATGAAACTATATTTGTTAAATACATGAACACTGCACATGTTATAAAAAATGTTATAAACAAACAAAAAACATAAAAATGAGAAAAAATGATACTTGTATAAATAATTGAACTCTCAAAAACAAAATAACATTTAATCCAGTAACCTGTGAACGCTCCTTATACACACACTAATAACAAATTGAATTGAACAATCAATTTTAATGCAAAATAGAAATGAAAATTGAATAATGAATAATCACAGACACGCGACACGTTTTCTAAGGGACCAGTCCAGCTCGTTCTGCAGTCTAGTTGCGTATTCTCTTGTATCCTCTTCGGTTTCGGTACCTTCGTTTTCTGTGGTGCGCTCGTTCAATCCTAAACTTGAGGGCGCATACATGGTTGCAACATTTACTTTTATTTAGTAAACGTTTTTTTCAAAAGTTAAGTTTTTAATAAATAATATTTTAAATAGGTGGTTTTCCTCACTACTAATGGAGAACCATACGAAAATATAAGAAACTATATGATTATTCAAAACAACGGTAACCTACAGGATAATAGTTATTAATGATACAAGTTCGATATGAACGCCATAATGAAACGCGTGTAACGTTAAACCACGAGGCGTTAGCCGAGTGGTTTAGTTACACAAGTTTCATTAATAAAGTTCATATCGAACGTGTATCATTCAAAATTTAATCTACAATGGTCCAAATAGATTTGATTTGCCTTGAAATAGCAAAAACTTTTCAAATTAAAATTTGAAATTTAGCAGGTGCCCGTACTAGTCGAGAACCTGCTTGTTGGTTTTTAGAATTTTGACTTTGGCAGCTTCAATATTGGAGTCCATTTTTGTGCCATAAATTCAATTTTATAGTGGAAAATAATATTATTATTGGTGATTCTGAGTTCGAAAGTGTCTCTTCAAATATAGAGACAGCATTATTGAAAAGGTTCTTCTGGCAACTAACTTTCTTTTTGTATATTTTTCATTTCAAAATTTGGGTGTTATTATGAATTCTTAAACGCACTAGTGCTATTATGAAGGACCTAATGACATTCAAATGACAATGCTAAATGTGTCATAATGACACCGACGTAGATTAAATAAATAATTGCTTTCAATAGAGGTATATAATAAATAATTGTCTTCGACTTTGAATGTTTAAATTAAGATGTTCTCGATAACTATCCCTATTTGCACATGCGAATATAAGTATTTCCTGCGTGAAGACTTTCACTAATATTTATGGTTAAAAACATGCGTATAATTTAAAAATAAACACATGTGATAAATCGATATGGAAATTATGTCTTTTCTTGCATTCTGATGAAATATTAACGTCGGCATTGCTTTTCTAAATTTATGATTTTTATTTGCTTCCTTACTGTATTTTTTTGTTAACTCTCACTCTTTGAAGCATCAAAAGCTAAGAATCGTTTTTTAAGTCAGCCTTTTGATTGAAATACAGAGTGCAATTCATACCGGATTCTACTGAAACTAAACTTTTGTCAGAGTTTTAAAACTATTGCAATTTTTCATAGGCACTTTAATATATCAATAACTAAACTAAATTATTCAAGTGAGATTTGCTGAAACATAATTATATTGATTCCTCAAAAATATATAAACATTGTTCTTTGTTTCAGGTCGGAGGAAAAGCGGCTCCATATTATATGGGATCCACGACTAGTCTCCCCCGTGGGGCAACTTTTCTCAGGACTTACTCCCCCGCAGTATCTAACCTTCCTGCCGACAGGTTGAAGGCACTGCCAACAGGTCAGTTTGTCGTTACTAAAGCCTATATTTTTATCCTGTACAGATTTTAGGTGGTTAATTGATTGGAACGTTAAAGTGTGTTGGTTTGTTTGATGTATAAGGGAAAAATATAATATAGTCGGAAACTATTTGAAATTTGCCATCAATGTCTAAATTTATACAAATTGAATTTAACTTCTATCTAAATATTTCATTTAATTAGACAAAGTTGCTGTCTTGTAAACGGAATTCACTCAAACAGACAATGCAAAGATGCATCTTCTCAATCTTATCTAGTAAAATTTTAAGCCCCTCAGCTATTCAAAGCAAGTATTTGAATGTTTACCGCAAACTTCAATGTAGTTTCTGACTTTGTGTGGCGTCCTTTGTTTTGGGAATGTCGAAATAATTTCTATCGAGGCATGTATCTCCTTCATATGGTATCACATAATTGACTTTATTTTTGAACGGCAATGGTTATTTAGTTCTATTGTTCCGCGTTGTAACAGTTCTATTTATTCTAGTCTTGAAATTTGAACATGTTTCTTCATCAGCGGTTCAAATTTGGTCAACTAGAAACAGATATCATTGTTTTGGGATAAAACAAAAATACCGAATCTGGTTAAAATATTGGTTTTAGTCAGAAAATAAAAACTAATGACCGAACCGTTCCTGGTTTTTACAAATCATTATCAATATATTCATTCTTCAGTAAAATTCATTTCAATTAACAGTCATTTGAATTAAATTTCTCTATCTATACTAAGCACAAAAATATTCAAAGTCAATTCACTCAAGTTAATAATATTTATGCAATAAAGTTTCATAGTCAATTCACTTCATAGTCATTTCAACATTGATAAAGTCAAAATAAAACTTGTCACTAGAGTACTTACATTTTAATTATGTCACTTAATTATTCTAATTATTATTTACTTCAAAATAGCTAGAGCACGCACATAAAAACTGAAACATCAACTTTTTTTCTTAATTCGAGTTATTTACTGTAATTTTTTACTTTTTCCGAGGCCCGACTTTTTTATACTTGAGATAATTCGCCACTTCTGAATACTACTAATTATTGAGTCTAATTCTCGATAATTGATTGCTGATTACCTTAGAGCTCGCACATAATGTTGAACGAATTTAAATGTTCTTTCTTTCACAATTTTCCGTTACTTTTTCAAAGATTCCATTTAACGCGTTTTCCCGAGGCAACAAAATAGAAGAAACTCTTCGGGAATTTTATCCGCACTGACTCATTAGGTAGTGTAGACTTAAACTCAATAGTGAACTGAAGACTTAGTTGGACTGACTGTAAACTTCTAAAACCGCTGTTTTTATATTTTTCGTCCCCCCAAAATATTCCGGGTCATGTCATTTCATTGACCGTTCCTTTTATCTAAGAAATACATATAATTATTTGTTTAAAAATTTGCCTCGATTTTAATAATTTTATGGATTTGATTCATGTGATGACACACGCTTGGTGTTTAACTGATAAAATTTGAACGTATTTTAAACATTTTAATTAATTTGGGTCAAGGCTAACTTGTTTCATTTTCAATTTGTTGATACTGATTTGAAAAACTGGGAAACTTGATTACATTTAACTTTTATTGTTAAGACATTGTAAATTACGGGTTTATTTAATATTTTTCCCGGGTCATTACAAGACACCTATGTAGGTACAGTTTTCAGGTAGGTACCATATTATACTACTGGGATCGTGTTAAATATTCCATTAGCTTTATTATTTTCTGAATAAAACCAAAACGAATATTTTGACTTTTTGTGCTTCTTCCAAAAATCTGATGTAATCTTTACCTGTAGTGGAAGAAACGTTTTTCATGTTATTTTTTGTAGAGTTCCAGAGTAATGAACTGATAAGAAAAACTCAATTATTTGATACCATTCTTAGATATATAAAAGTATCGGCATCATTGTGTGTTTTTTTTTTAAATTTATTTATTAAAATATTTATTTTAAAATAATTATTATCATTATCAGTGCATCCCTATAATAATAAAATTAAAATTTCTAAATGAAATATTTGAAATAGATTTCAAATGAGGCTTTTTCAATATAAATAAGCTTACGTGATTGGTATGAGGAAACTTGCCTCCAAAAATATATCATAACAAGAGTGTGCCATGCTTATAGGGTTTGGAATTATAATTTGCTATACCTACTTAGAGTATTGGCTTAAAAAAAAAAAGGAAATCTGTAGTTGCTTAAAAAATTGGAAAGAAAAGTATTTCCAGATAAGATGCTTGTTTTCTCTTTACTTTCTTCATAGGCCTAAAATAAAATGTATTCTGGATAACAACTACATATTGAACAAATCCTAACCCCTAATTATTAGCCAAGAACCGTTTTTGACGGTTGATATTTGATTAATTTACACGTGGGCATAGGGTTATTTTTATTTTATTTTTTATTTAAAAATTATTTCTGAATTCACCAAGGTGCACCTCCGAAACCTCAACGTGCTTATAGCAGCGGAGGCAGCCATAACTCCAGCGATGGCCCACCCCGACCGCCGGAACGTTTTGCTCCCTTCCAAAGGCCCGCCAACCCCCTCTATGTACCAGGTGTGTCCAGACCACCACAAATACGAAATATATCGCCGACAAAGTGATGTTTTTGTATTTGGAGAAATTACCAATATACCTTACGGGTGATCAAAAATGAATATTTTAGCAATAAAAGCTGATTTCCAATTTGGGCCATCTGGTTGATGGGCAATAATTATTTATGAATAGTATTTTACATATATTTTAATTTACATATTTAAATATTGCAAATTTTCATCATAAAGTAACTTCTATTAATGTTATATTATACAGGGTGGGCCACTGAAAACTTACAATGGCTATAATTTTTGAACCAAAAAAGATATTGAAAAAATAAAAAATACCGTTTTTATAAAATCAAGGCGGAATACACATGACGTATTTTTCAAACCACCCCGACCTACCCCTTAGGCGCCACCCCTACTCGCTTCAAAATCTTTAATGGCAACACCCCACTTGTGGCACCTTTTTGAAAAGCTCATGAAAAATGCTAAACGATGGTCATAAAATTTTTAGGGTGACATTGGAAAACTACCCGTCAAATGAAAAAAATTGGTAGAAATAAATTTTACAAAAAAAAAGAATTTTTAGCATGAAGTTAGAGATAGGAAATTGAAGCGACCCAGCTAAATTCAAATTACGTATTTTTCAAACCACTGCGACCCACCCCTAGGAGCCACCCTCACTCATTTGAAATTCTAAGATTGCGGTACCCCACTTGTGGCACCTCTATGGAAAGCTATTTGAAAATGCTAAACGACGGTCATAAGGATTTTAACCTAAGAAAATTACGGCTAAGTAGAGATTAGGAAATGTAGGTGTGACATCTTGAAAAATAGGAACCAAATTAAAAATGATCTAGATAATTTATTTTAACAATTGCTCAAAATGACAGCCGTTTTGTTCCATACAAAAATACAAACGACTTTCAAATTCTTCTCTCACTTTCTGGAACATCTCTCTCGGAATGTTTCGACATGCCTCAATTATCCTCTGCCGCAATTCTTGCAACGAAGCTGGTTTTGTCTTGTAGACTATGGATTTAATGTAACCCCACAAAAAGAAGTCTAAAGGAGTGAGGTCAGGTGACCTTGGCGGCCACTCGATTGGACCCCTTCTGCCAATCCATTGCCTTGGATAAAATCTATCTAACCACCGCCTTGTGACAATAGCATAATGCGGAGGGGCTCCATTTTGCTGAAAGTGTATGATGTCTTCATCAAGATTCAAATTTCCTCCCAAATCTCTTTGATTTTCAACCTCATTTACAATTTCCGGCTCTATCGCATTGTCCAGCATTTCCACATAAACAGCACCCGTCAAATTTCCGTCGATGAAAAATGGACCTATTATTTTATCGCCCAGTATTCCGCACCAAACATTGAGCTTTTGGGGATTTTGGGTATGTCCTTCAACAACAATATGGGGATTCTCATTGCTCCAGTATCTGCAGTTCTGTTTATTCACATTTCCATTTAGCAAAAACGAGCACTCATCACTAAAACAAACATTTTTAGTGAGTGAAGGTTGCCTTCGAATTTCCTCCGTCATTAGTTCGCAGAACTGAATCCTTCTATCTGGATCATCGTCGCCAAGTTCCTGCAGAATTTTAATACTCTTCTGACAGATGTTCGGGGTATGCCTGTTATTGATGCCAACTGGCGCGTTGATGCTTCTGGATTGACCGACACCTGACCAATAACTTCGATTTGCATTTCTTCATTCAGTACCCTGGGCCCTACCCTTTTTTGATTTTTGACCGATCCCGTTCGTTGAAACTTTTGGATCAAATCCCTAACATAAACGTGACTAACGTTTCTGTCCGGATTTCTCTCATTGAAAGCACGGGCTGTTCTCAAATAGCACTTACCTTCAGCACCATAAAGAAAAACTATTTCAATTCTTTCTTCCACACTATAAACCGTTTTTCGATGTTTTAACTAAGTAAATTGAATAAAGGTAGAAATTATCGTCACTAAATTTGCAAAATAATGATTTGAAAAATGATAGAAGACAGTAAGTAATGCATTTTGTTTTTTTTTTTGTTGCTGTGGGTCGGGTTGCTATAGAAAAGTAAACAAATAGCTGATAAGGAAGAATTTGCGTTACCGCAAGTTCTTATTTGTGGATTGGTGGAAAATGTTAAAATAAATTATCTAGATCATTTTTAATTTGGTTCCTATTTTTCAAAATGTCACACCTACATTTCTTAATCACTACTTAGCCGTAATTTAATTTAGGTTGAAATCCTTGTGACCATCGTTTAGCATTTTCAATTAGCTTTCCATAGAGGTGCCACAAGTAGGGTACCGCAATCTTAGAATTTCAAATGAGTGAGGGTGGCTCCTAGGGGTGGGTCGCAGTGGTTTGAAAAATACGTAATTTGAATTTAGCTGGGTCGCTTCAATTTCCTATCTCTAATTTTATGCTAAAAATTCTTTTTTTTTGTAAAATTTATTTCTACCAATTTTTTTCATTTGACGGGTAGTTTTCCAATGTCACCCTAAAAATTTTATGACCATCGTTTAGCATTTTTCATGAGCTTTCCAAAAAGGTGCCACAAGTGGGGTGTTGCCATTAAAGATTTTGAAGCGAGTAGGGGTGGCGCCTAAGGGGTAGGTCGGGGTGGTTTGAAAAATATGTCATGTGTATTCCGCCTTGATTTTATAAAAACCGTATTTTTTATTTTTTTGATATCTTTTTTGGTTCAAAAATTATAGCCATTGTAAGTTTTCAGTGGCCCACCCTGTATATACATATTTTTTTCAAAATAATTATGTATATCGTTTTGAATACTTTGACTCCGTATCGTATCACCATAACAATACACACCTAAAAACTTCCTTTTTTTTTTCCTTAAATCCAAATATTTCACAGAGCGTATTCAATTTTTTGGGGGTTGCATTTTGTGTGGATATTATTTTTTCTTTTATTGCAGATTTTTTTTATATTGTCACTAGTAATTTTGCAAGTATATCCCACGCACCCCATCATATTTTTTTGGATAATTTCTCCTATATTAACAATTTGATATTATTGGCTGTTGTCCCAACCCCTAGTAGTATATAGATGTAGTAGAGGTAGTTTAAGTAAGAAACATTAATATTATAAGCCAAAGCTACATGAAAACATTACCTATATTTATTTAAAAAAAAAAAATCCAATAATAATTTCTAAATTTATTTATGTAGATGGTTATATGTCGTCACCAGAAAGAGGGTCGAGGTATGAGGATCCCTACTACAGCCAGTATGGTACAAGATCGGGATCAATAACTCCTGTAATAGATGAAGAAGTGAGGTAAGCCTTAATTATAATCGAAAACACTCTGGAAGACGAAGTCACCAAAATTCTGAATTGATAAAGGGGTGTGATTCATTGTACTATAAGTACTGTACGGTGGTACTGTTATTATAATTCAATATAGCGATTGTAATTGGATCAATAATACTCTTATTCGGGTTTTGGAGTTTTAAACTCGTTATGCTTTCACGTAGTGTCGAATGGAATCTTTCGATTGGACTATTCGAGTTCGGATTTCTTGGAGTTGTATAATGAAACTCAATCTATATATATAAAAATTAATGCCACTTTTTGTTGTAATTTTATAACTCAAGAACGGGGCTCACCTAGCCAAACCAAATGTTTAGGCTTTGTTCGGACTATTTATTAGATGATTTATGTGAAGTTTGCACAAAATCGGTCGAGCGGTTCTTCATTTATCACATTTTTTGTAATAAATGAATTATTCAATAAATGGAGGATCATTTTGTTATCATTATTATCTATATATATAAAACACAGTTGTGTTGGTTCTAGCACTTATAACTCGAGAACAGCTGGACTGATTTTTATGATTTTTGCGCTTTATTGGATTTGTCTTTGTCCATACATATTATATATGTTTATATAAACAAAAATGCTTGTTTTGATGTCCCCTACTACCCCTTAAAGTTTGTCGGTATCTTTTTGGGACACCCTGTATGTATAGTACAGCGGATAAGCTAACCTATTGTGCACTTTTTGATAAAGGCACCAAATTTGGCAGAGAGGTAGACCGATGTAATATGAACAAATTTGGATGTGGAGCCATCGCTCAACTGCCCTCCGGCGGCCGTGGCGGCGATTTTTTGGAATGACTGAAAGACAAGGGAAGTTTAAAGTTTGCTACTGAAGGTTTTGGTGAATGTTTATTGATTGTTTTAAATGAAAACATGCCAGATGGTTTTTAGGTTATACAGGGTGGCCCACCTAGATTTTTTCAGGTCTCGTCTCAGGTTTTAGGTGATACGCTCGGCGCTCGGATACGTTATTTTTTGTGGGACACATTTCACCCTCTACCCGCAAAATTTCAAATGGAAAAGGGGTTCGAGTCAGAGCTGTCAGTACTTTAAGTAAATTACTTGGAAATTGTATTTCAATTACTTTTCAGTATTTAAAGTACCATAATTCAAATACTTTTGTTTTTGGATATTTGTACTTGATTCTGCAAATACTTTAAATAAACTATTTGAATTTGGTACTTGGAGTTACAAAAAAAGTGATTCAAATACTGGGCCTTTGCAGTCAAAATACTTCAAATATTTCAAATACCCTAGAAAGCAAAAAAATAATTGAAATACCCCCAGAAAGTAATTCAAATACTTCACCAAATGTGAAATTAACATGTCCTAACGGTCCTAACCAGTATAGATATAAAATCCTTGGATAGGTTTCCTGTCACAAAAGAAGTTTTTCATGGGTACAATAAGTTTTTCCCTTCATCAGCCCCTGCAGAAAGACTTTTCAGTTTTGCAGAAATAGTGAACGCACACCTTCGAAGACATGCGCTTTCTGACTTGCATTTCAAACAGCTAGTTATACTAAAGGCGAATGGCAAAAGACTAATGTCACTGTTGTAATGTAAAGTTTCAATATAGGCAATAGGGTTAGCGTTTTTTGTTTTTTCATCTTAGGATTATTATATTTTAACCTCTAGCCCTAGAATATTTATTTATGGCCGTTTCCACCAACTATTTTAGGGGAGCCTTAACGATAAGTATTCCCTAAAATGACATTTTTACATGAAGAAATGTCAGTTTAGGGAATACTTATCGTTAAGGGTCCCCTAAAATAGTTGGTGGAAACGGCTATTAGTTGTTTATTATTTTTTGTACCTATTTATTAGGTTTTGCCTCTTGATTTTAAATATTTTATTTTTTGTAGAAGTTTACTTTCTGAATAAATAGGTACCTATAGTTTGTTTCGCTAGGGTTTGTACTTGCCACCAGCATTTGCTTTCCTTGTTTAACAAATCAAAATTAACTGAAACAAATCAATGACGTCAAAAACGTTCGTCGGTTCTTAAATCATTTTAATTTGTCAAAAAAATTGAATGTGTCATATGAATTAATCTACGACAACCCTTTTTTTTTCAAGTTTCAAGTTCAAGTATGAACCCTGGTGAAACGGACCTTACCTACCTATCTTGAAACAATCCCACTGCATTCTTTATTTCTTAATCAACCGTTTCTAGATAAATCTTAAATCATTAAATTGAGAGTAATTACAATCTGCAACTGGAATTTAGGAATCTGGAATTTCTGTAGTACTTTTTCAGAGGTATAACAAGTATTTTCAGCTTTCAATACAATTTTTAAAAAATCATTGAAAAATTTTAAATTCCTTTTTAGTGGGTACTTGAAGTACATACTTCTTATTATTTCAAATAGATACAAGGTATTTCAAATATTTAATTAAGTAGGTACTACAAATACTCTGTATTTGAATTATTTTACTTGAAAAGTAGGTACTGAATTGAAGTCCTTGAAACTTGAAGTACTTTTCAAATTGAAAGTATTTAGTATTTGTACTTGCAACATGAATTTCCCGTAATTGATACTTGGTATTTGAAATACTATTTATCAGTATTTGTGACAGCTCTGGTTCGAGTGATAATGTAGGTACCTATTACAATTTTCTTAACTTTGACGAGCCGCCTTTTTGTCAGGGAATATTTACCCTGCCGCAACTTAAAATTTCGAGGATATAGGTATTTTTAATAAAAACTTCCCATCAAATGACGTATCACTCGACCCCTCTTTCTATCTGAAATTTTTGGGGGTACCTACCTGTCCCCCCCGCTCAGAGGCTGACAGGTAGGGGGATGAAAATACCAATAAAATGGTCGATTGATTTTTGATTATTTACCTTACATCTGAGAAAACCTGGGAGGGAAGTTTTTCGTGCTCCGCCCTGTATATACAAGGTGTCCCATGACGGTTTACCCAGGTGATAACTACGGAACGCTTCATCCAATATAATTGAAATTTTGAGGATCTGGGTAACTTTTTGTGCCGCTTCTACATGCGTCATGCATCCAATTTCACTTTCGCTTCAGTTTTGGTCAAGTGACGGCAACTTTAGAATCTTAAATGTAAAACTGATGGTATAGCATTTGTAATACATATTTAGAATAACCCCATCCTTATTCATCAATCACGAATCAGATGAAAAAAAAAATTACCAACAAAAACGAACGTCGATTGCTAATACGTCAATTTCATGTACAAACTACGAGTCCGTTTTTGTCATCTTTTTCGTCCATTTGCTCCGAAATTTTGACAGGCACGTGACTGGATGAGAGTGTTTCAATTTACAAATCACGTGCCTGTCAAAATTTCGGAGCAAATCGACGAAAAAGATGACAAAAACGAACTCGGCCAAATTAGACTATCCAAAACACGTGACACAAATATGGCCGACAAGAGGCACACAAACATTTGACACAAACACAAACCATAACGTCATTAGGTTATGTCATTAATGATCATAATCAAATACTCATTTTCTATTGTGTGCGTCTCAATTTTTGGCCGTTTCTACCCAATTACGGAATCCCTATTGTTTGGGCAAGATTGCTCTACCTACATTTCACTTGGACACCCAGGACCTGCCCTTAAAATGTGAAAATATTTATTTGTTGCAACTCCACCGTCCAGTGTTGTGCTGCCTACTTTAAATAATGGATACAGGAGCATCTACAGAAAGACGAAGAAACAGGCAAGGAAGATTTATTACAATGAGAAGTTGGGCATCCGCATCCAATAAACAAAAAGAGTAACGACCTACGCGAAAAAAAAAAAAGAAATATACATATGTGCTTCCAATTTGAAAGCAGATAATATTAATTCATACTACTGTACGATTGCTCAGAAACTGAGTTATCAAAAATAGAAAATCTTCTGGATGGGACGATATCTCAGTTAGGCTGTTGATGTGTTGGCGGATTCCTTGATAGACATAAATTGCTTTTTCTGTCTCTGTTTCAGCAGTCAAAAAACACTGATGATACCATATTTCATCTCCTGGATGAGCTGTATTAGAAGATAAATGACGAAGAAGTGGCCGCGGTAGTTTTTTGTGACTTGAAAAAAGCTTTTGATTGTGTCTGTCATGAAGTACTGCTTCTAGGGGTGCAGTACTTCAGAGGGGTTGGATATCACTGCAGGAGTGCCCTAGGGATCTGTTCTATTTCTAACATTAATAAAAATACGAGTAAAAAGAACGAGTATCAAAACGCAAATGAACAATGAGCACTATTTTTTTGAAAAAAATTTCATGACACATTGAATAACACATAAAAAAAGGGTTTGTGTGCCTCTTGACGGCCATTTTAATTCAAGTTTGACAGCATCTTGGATAGTTCAATAAGAAGCGACATACGTTTTGTCACTAAAACGACAGGTACTTCTAAATAGGTATTAAAAATACTATACTATATCATTTTTCGTTAGAAAATTCGCTTACAAAATCAGCAATGGCATATTTGCTAAGGCTTTGTTAAAGAAAATGACGAAAAATTACAAAGTGGAACATTCGATGACGCGTTCCTAAGTTATCACCTGGGTAAAACGTCGTGGAACACCCTGGTATATACCTATATCCGACAAATACCATTTTAAAGTCACGTGATACTGGTGGCATAAACGTATGTCCATTGATTATGTCGTTGATATCACCTACAAAAAGCTACTGGTGGTTAATTACTATTGAATTTTAATATATGTTCCCACTAGCATTTTACAAACGCGTTTCTGAAGTAGTATTGAACAATCAGAGGGTAATTTTAATACTTGCAATTGTTGCGAGACTCACTTTTGTCGCATCTGCTGTCTGTTGTAATACATTCTGAACTTAAACTGGGTACCCGTTTTCTATTTGCTTGTTTTCGAGTTGGAAAAAGGTTAATATAGTCAAAATTATTAGCTGTGTTTGTTCGTTGTATTATTTTCGAAAATAACTTTGACAAACTAATTGATGACAGTGACGGATTCTATTTCAGGCAAGAATATTATGAACAATAATTAGACAGCAATTTTTTTGTCAATTTTACTATCACCGCTGTTTGAGATGTATTCAACAAGGATAGAGAAAAATCACGTGACTTTAAAATGGTATTTGTTGGACTATTGGCCATTTGCACCGCTATCACTTAAGGGATATTAAGGGATATTCAATTTAGGTGTAGCTTTTGAATGTGACTTTTGTTTCTACGAGAGTCACATTCTAAGCTCCACTTGGATTTAATATCCCTTAAGTTATAGCGGTGCAAATGGCCGTATAACACCCAAGTTTTCTCAGGTGTTGGGTGATTAATCAAAAACCGCTAGACCGTTTTATTTTAAACAAACTGATGACAAAAAAAAATTGTGTTCACAAGTCAGCTCTAAGAGTCGGCCGCTGCAGGTCTATATGCGTTCCCTGCCATCCAAATATGCTTGTTTTCTAGACGAGGATCTTTTCAATGATTGAGTTTTTGTTTCTTTAATTTTTTTTATAATTTTAAGCTCAAAATTCGCGAAAAAAAAATGTTAAAATTGCTCCAAGGGACAAGAAGATATTTGATTTTTAAAGATTTGAACGGGCGGCCATGCTTTTTCAAGATGGCGTTTTTAGCTCACTTCCGATTTTTTGCTCCTAGACATATAATACATCGATTTCCATTGAAAAAAAACTGTCCCCTTGAACTTCATTAAAAAAATAAAATTTGCCTGGTCTAAATAGGTTCTAAAGATTTATTTAGGAAATGAAGACAATAAATACCAGGTGGCATGTATTCCTTTACTAAATTAGTAATTTGTGATGTTGGATTATTTGGTAAGAAGAATATTATTATTTACCTTTATTTATTTTAGTGACACGGAACTTCTAGATGATTCATATTCGCTCTACGGTGTTAAACCTGGAGGAGCGGCACCTCGTACCAATGCGCGGCCAGGATTTCCGGCACCAGCCGCAGTACCTTATGATGCAACTAGGTAAACATTATCCCAAAAATCTCAGTCCAAGACATACAATTTTTTTTCCATAGATTAAGGGTAGAAAATATGGAGCGACAATTAGCAAACCTGACGGGATTGGTTCAAAAAGCGCTAACTCAGCCGAGTACTTTGCAAATACCAGGAAGGGACGGATATCGAGGTAATTCTTGAGTTGTTTATTCTAATAAGAATTTTGTGTGCCTTGTGTTTGTTTATTCGTGCACTCAGAAACACTATAGATCGCAGTTGTTAGCGATTTAGATGCTATTATAGAATGCTCTTGTTCGGAATAGAACACATAAACAATTTTAGTGTTTTAGCAAAGAAATACCTCAATAACTATAATTTATAAACAAAACAGTTTCGATAGCTATAATCCATGATATAGGCTCAGAATATTCTACACTAGATTCATAAGAATTTATAGCATCCATGAATTATTTCAAATGTTGATGTTGTATAGAAACTCTGATGAATAGTTCAATCTGAATTATTGAGTAGTTGATTTGTGTAGCTGATATAATAAGTGAATACTAAAAATAGTCACATGTTTTTTATTTGACTGAATAGTCACTTACTCACTTACATATAGAAGGCATTTTAGTGTTTCGTGTGTTGTATTTATATTGTTTTATAAAAACAATATTAATGAAGATACAAATATTGTTTATTTATTCAATAATTAATTTATAAAAATAATAACAATATCTGTATTTTATTCAAAATCATCGAGATCACCGATCAAAATTAATGTTTAATTTTTAATGCAAGCTTGTGTAATTATAGTGTTGTTTGTTTGCTAACGATCACCATTCATTTCTACCCCACAGGAGACGAGTTCGATAAGAACTCCAGTTCAAGTTCGGCCTCATTGCCAGGTTTGTATTTTCATTCAATTTTTTTTCTGCCTGTTTTGTATCATCTTTTTTTTTTTTGATTAGTAAATCAAGGCTTAGAAGACTAATTGACATCAGAATTACTTATAATAATATTTAAATTTTCTTGTTAAATTTTATGTAGGGTCTTGTATTAGGCACATAAAAATCTTTATTTCCTTTTTCAAGGCTACAAATTTGAAACTTTACAAAGAAATAATAACATAATAAATAATTTAGTACAAACTGAGGTCAAATTAGAATTATGCCCGTATTACATCTGTGTATTTTTCCATGTATTTATTCATGTAGTTCAGGGTGACAACCGAAAAACTTCTAACGCAACATAAATCAGCATAACGAAAAATAAAATAATGTTGGCACCCTGAACTACATGAATAAATACACGGAAAAATATACAGATGTAATACGGGCATAAGGATTGTATGAGAATATGAAAATATACAGACCACCGGACCAGCCTACTAGACACCGAGGGGGCAAGGGGTAATAAGACGAATTAGCTTGTACCGCGTTTAGGCGAATCGAGGCGGTGCTGCCGAAAATGAACCAAATTTACTAACTTTCAGGGACGGTCAATAATCCACAGCTGTGATTCTGCAGTGAAATGGGTATCAATCAACTGGTCCCATTGAAGCCTATGTGTCTAGTAGCCTGATCCTGTAGTCTGTGTATATATCTTGTTTTTATTTTTGTGAATAATATCCTCCTTGCATATTGATCAAATGCTCTCTCAAGTTAAACAAGACAAAACTGAGTATCCCTTTAGTACAGGAAAGGTACGCAAATAAAATTGTCCACTCATGGAAATTGGATTTCAACTTCGTAGAAATGAAAAGTCCTCAAACTATTGAGAAGCGGATTATCGATTTTTTTTTGTGGGTGGAGTACCATTTTTTCTATAATCGATTTGAACATTGTTGTAGTATAAAATGTACTGCTAATAAACCAACGCAAGGCATCATGAAACATAAGGGTAATAATTCTTGTCATGATTTGACTCATATTCACCGTCTTCAAGGTCATCAAAGAGAAAGAGGTCGGCATTTCCATCCATGGCGGAAATATCAAAATTTAGTTTCGACTATGTTGTGCCCAGTGTTCCGTTATCTTTGCCCTATTAAAGAGCTTTCTGGCTTTCCTTCTCAGGTTGCCCAAGTTACATTTCCACCAGCGGACTACCCTTCTTTGTCCTTTGACCTTGGAAATGCAGTTATCTCTGAACGCTGTGATGATAGCGTCTTACAGCTGGTCCACTGACACATCAATGTCTATGGCTCACTGTATGTTGGTTTTCACAGAACTGAGACTATACTTCAGTTGACTCCTGTATGATTTCGAATTGGTTTTGCGCGGGTTTCGAAGTCGTTACTTCTTTCTCAAACTCGGACAATTCAAATTCGATATATCTGATACAGAGGGATCATCTGATACCAGTTTTCAACCTGTCTAAGCACAGTTTGTACCAATTTTAGGTTGTTTTTCTACCTTTTCTATCAAACTTGGTGAATTTATCGACTTAGACTATGGAGTATGCTGCAGGCTGAAATACGAGAATACTTTCTTCTATACTCTTCATATTTATTGGCTTCAGTAGAAGCGAGTGCCATTATAACTATCATTACATCTTGAGTGATAATAGTAGCTAGACAGCATTAAGATTCATCTATCGCTGTTTGCACTATTAGAACATGTGTATCATCAACCAACTCAGCTCCACTTTGAAATTATTGTTCGCTTTCTCTAAGGCTTTTTGGATCATCTTTATTCTCTCTATTGCCTATAGGCGACGAATTGCATCCACCAATTCACTTAAGACTATCTTTTTGAAAGTAGGTATCTAATCTATCTAACCAGAAAATCTCCATCTCTTAAATATTTTGTCCACTTTTCAGATCATAACTGCCAATACCAAAGTTTCATGAATGGACATGGTTAATACCTTGATAATAAATTTGATTTTATAAATGTTTAGGATGATATCTAAGAATAAAAAAATACATTATGCTTTTAGGCTTATAGATTACATTATTAGGAAAAACATAATATAGTATTTTACTTATAACAAAATCGATTGGCGTCTATTAGAACAATTTAACACACATTGTTTTTTTGTAATTTTTTTGGCAGATGATACATTTCTTCGGTCTGACAGCAAAGCGCCCAAATTGGGTAAAAGTGGCTGTCGTAAGTTGACAATAGTTTTTATTTCTACGCATGTTATGTTTAAAAATTCATTGTTATTGTTTGTTAAGCGTCTCTTGATTTTAATAAATAATTATTTTCTTTTTGAACCAAAATAAATCTATAGCATGTTTAACAACCTTATTCTCGTAAATGTAGTGCATTTTGCTTCAAATTCATTAAGTAGTGTAATAATGCCTTATGTTCCTATATGATCTCAATGTTTTATTTGTTTCTAATTATACCCTGAATCTAAATAATCGTAATTTAAAATTTCCGCACACCTCTCATGGGCATTTGGTTTTCTGTCAAACTCAATGAAATTTTGATGTGTTAGACCTTGACTTCCTTCCAGGTAGTTTAATGTCCAAGAAATGTACAGTAAGAATCATTGCAATTGGGACACACTATAGGTCTGTTTCTGCAGAAATTACAAACCAGTCAGAGTCAATTTCATTGGTTGAAACTAGTTTTCTGACTGTTTTCAACTAATTAAATTCGCTCTAACTGGTTTATGATTTCTGCAGAAACAAGCCTTATATTGTCACAACCCCTATACGTTTCGTCCTGAAACGTCACAACGGGAGCGTGACCTGGGGGCGTAGGTGGGGTTCAGGTAGAGAGAAACTCGCTTGGCATAGGTATAATAAGATAATGTATTAAATAATAATAATATTACCCTAGAAATAGTATCATATGACGTCTCTTCTACGGAGGGACGTACTATTTATAGGCCACTCTGTACTATGTACCCTCTGTACACTTGGTGTGACTGAAGACTAAAGCTGGGTTTGAGACAGGTCCAAAAGGGCGTTTCCCAATTAAGGTAGTTTGCACTGGACCTAGTCTGCAGCGTTCAATGCTTCCAGAAGAAGCTAGGTTTGAGACAGGTCCAGAAGGGTGTTTCCCATTAAAGGTAGTTTGCACTGGACCTAGTCTGCTGCGTTCAATACTCCCAGAAGGGCGTTTCCCATTAAGGTAGTTTGCACTGGGAGGAGACTTAGCTAGAGGGGCTTTTCCCATTTCACGTACTTTGCACTAGCTTCAGTCTGCCGGTAATGGATTTTGACGCGGTATTTATACCAAATTAATGCTGACTCGTCGACACACTTTAGTAAAACTGATGTACAGAGTGGTATTTACTTAAGTAGTTGACAATATGAACATCCCCCGTAAATGTGTCAAAATTTTACTTATTGCCACACAGGTAATATCAATATCGTGTTAGATTGATATATCAGTGGTGAACATAATAGTTTTAATCTGGTTTAATATAAACTGTTGAAGGAAAAAAAAATTGTACACCACTGCACTTATTGGTTAGAATTTTGACTTAATACGAGGGATGTTAAAAGAGTATGTATCAATTGCAATGTATCTCAAAAACTAATCATAGGATTGGTTCGGGCCCATGAGAACTTTTTATCAGGAAGTCAAGATCTTAACATATATCAAAATTTCATTGAGTTCGACAAAAAACCAAATACCCATAGAGGTGTGCAGGGTCCTTTGTCGAAAAAATCGAAAGAAGAAAAAAAAAAACATTTTTCTGTTTGCTTACCTTTTTCTCATGCATATCATCACTTTACATACAAATTATATAATCCTCTGGGATTGTCTTTAGGGGTAGAACCAAAGTCTATAGAACAAGTAAAGTTCAATTTCATTCTTAAGTTAGAGGAGGTTTCGGTTCTTATCTCCTTTAATTGAGTTAGGGCGGGTAGTAAGTAACCATTCTGAAAGATAACTAAAAGTTAACGAATTACGTTACCTCCCACACAGCACAGATGCATCTTAAAGACGTCCCTTACATGTCCATAAACGATATTCAAGACGTCTTGTTTACGTCTTTAGCGTGTCTTGAAGACATCTTTAAGATGTGAACTAACGATATCTTATGGATATTTTCAAAACAACGTATTTTTCTGGTGTTCAGACGTAATGCAGACCTAAAAATACGTCTTTGAGACTTTGTGTGTTGTCTGGGATCTCATGGTCATTCCAGAAGTTATTTTTTAGTTATCTGTCAAAATAGTTCTATACCCGCCCTAAGGGACCTTTTTCAAATGAGTTGTTGAAGTAAGGGTATCTTTTGATACTCTCAATTAAAAACGTAAGAGAAATATTTTCTTTTCAAAAAACTGTTTTCAAATATTTATTCTCATTTCATTTATCACCCAATAGAATTGTAGCAATATTTTCCATTTTTATTTCTTTTACCATGAATATCCCAAAATTCTATTTCCGATTTTATTTTCTTGGTGCAATTTATTGCTATGCGGATTTTGCCGTTCTCTTTTATTTGTTTCTCAGGACATTTTTCCAAACACGAATATGTAATTTTGTCTGTTCAGTTTTGATTTAATCAATTATTTAAATAAACAGTTATTTTGGATTTGTTTTTAAATTATTCAAATACTAGGACGATGTCGATGTCGTGTGCAACTGAATAATGATGTTTTGCATAAATGTGTTTATTTATAGGATATAGGTATATTATTTCAAATAAATTCTATCCTAAAGAAAAAAATAATAATATTAATGTAAAACCTCGATGACAATAAATACATTGCAAATAGCAATTTTGTATAAATATATATTTATTTCAAATTGAGTAGAGTAGACCTGTTATCTTTTATTTTGCTATTCTGTCCTTTAAGAATTATCTTCATTTAGAAATCTATTTGTTTCTTCCTACATTTTTAATTACTAATGCTTAAGCATCATGTGAAAAAAAAAATGGAGTAATTTATAAGAGAAATCATAATAATTTTTTAAGTTATTTGTTCATTCTCTTATAAATTGTTTCCTCGATCACCTAATTGGCAAATCATCCATTTAACCTTTGTTTTTCTGTATGTACTTTTTAGATAAGTCCGTTTCGTTTGAGAAGTCGGTTTCGTTTAGTGACGAACCTCCGGATATGAATTCGCCTAAACAACACAGTCCACAACATGCAGGTAAGATATTCAATGTAAAGTAGGTAATTCAAAAAAACTTGTTTTATTTAATTATTATATCAATAATAATTGATTTGGTTTTATAATGTATACATTGTGTGGCACGAAAAACTTCCCACCCAGGTGGTCTCAGGTATTAGGTAATGCATAATAATACATATAATCACCTGAGTACAAGTTTTTCGTGCCTCACCATGTATATTTGTTCTTTGAGTGAGTATTATTTAATAGGAATTAATTACCAAAGAAGACGCTTTCTGGTTGATTGATTGAAAAGTTGATCAATAAAAGTGGGACAGTCTTGGTTCATTTTTACATGTAGTTCTAGAGACCAGAAATTTGTTATCAATATAATTTTTCCTTACTTTACTTTAATTTTTATCCTCTTCTGGTTGAGATTCTTTTTTTTTCTGATTTTTCAATTTTTAACATTATTTTGTTGAGTGTGATTTTTGGTACCTACAATTTTCCTCGATTTTTTCTTTAATATTTGTCATTACTTTTCCTCATCTCTATTCTTCAAATTTAGTACAGCTAATTAATTCCTTATGGTGAACCTTTTTTTTTTCACGATTTGTTTGTTCCGAGAAAAGGTTTGTTAATAGTACTCACAAAGCCGTGGCTTTTTTTGGTTGGAAGACACACAGTTTATACATTTATTATAGACACTCGTACAGTTTTTCTCCTCATGCTCACCAGTGCATAATATGACCTTAGTAAAAAATCGATGGTTTCCGACATATTGTCACTTTAATAAAATTCGTTAAAATCGTCCCATTGGAACAGATTTTCGAGTGTCACCTTTTTTCATTATTCTTGGATTCTGAATTCAGTTTTGCAATGATGAATGGACATTTCATTTGTCATAGACCAACATTAAAAATCAAAGTTCAAGGTATTTTTACGACCATCAATGTCAATACATAAATATTGATTATGTAGAAATGATTTAAAGAAAAAAAAAAATACATATTTCTTAATAACTTAAAAAAGTATTGCAAACAAACAATATAAACAACAAATACAAAAACTGTTTTAAAATTGAATACATTTGTTTTTCACCTAAACATCAAATAATTAAATAAACACATTAACAAGTAAATACATAATAATTAACAAACTTGGGTTTTAAAATAATTGCTGCTTAATTAAACTATTGTGATACGATTAATCTGCATTTTACTTATTATTATTGGGACTTTGAATCGATCAACCACGCTTTTTAGGGTTTACTGCCATAAGCCATTTATTTTTGAAAATTAAATTAACTTGTCGCGTATTTATGACATAATTTAATGTAAACATGTATTGTTACGTTGTTTAGTTTATAATTTATAAACCAATTTTCTGCGGTTTCGCTCACGTTTCATTTTAATGAAACAAAATTTAATTTGTTTAGTAGAATTTGGTTGATTATGGAGACCAATTTTTGAATTAAATTTATTATCCATTTATTGAATTTGGTAGATAATGAGTTTTTTATTCTCAAAAGGAATTTTTTGAAATTTTTCCCCTATTTGATCTAAATCTTGCATGCATTTTTGTGTCTTGTTTTTATTTTGGTTACTAACTGCGTTCCTTTTTGGTATGTTTGCTTCCTATCAGCGGACCAAAAACCCACCAAACCCGCCATTAAATCATCCACTCTTCCACGAACATCGTCTCAGGGTAAGTTTGGATTATTTTTTGAATGAAAACCCTAGTTTTTCGTAAACCTCATTTAATAATTACTCGTCTTACAATCATTAATTTGTATAGTAATAATAATTACGACTTTTGTTTATATGTATATATAGAAGACCATTCTGGAAAAACAAAAAAAAAGTGCTCCTATACATTTTATGTTTAGAAAGGTCTAATGTAGCATCTATAGTAGGGTAGTTTTAATGGTTCTCTCAATGTACAAACACTTTTCCAGAACGAGATCGACTGAAACCAGCCCCACCACCAAAACCAGCCTCTCTCTCGCCCAGTCAGTACGACAGCCGAATATACAGGGATCTCCAATTGACGCCGGAAATGTACAATCAATTACGCGGTTTGCAGAAGAAAGCCAAAGATCTACGAGCCGAAGTGAGGAATCTTCGGAGAATGTCGCAGGCGCAAGCGCATTCAGTCAAGGAGACTATCAGGGATACCTTTATCAAAATTCGGGCCATGCTGTTGGCTGGCGGCGAACAAGTTTGGCAAGCAGGTAAAATACGAACAAATATTTTATTCTATCGCTAATGGTAAACTATTATTTAATCGACTCAAAACTCGTTGTTAAAGTAACACTTTATTTGAAGTAGTGAAATCGAACAATTTTTACCCACTCATTTGTCAATTTTACCCACTCATACGTCAATTTTACCCACTCATACGTCAATTTTACCCACTCATACGTCAATTTTACCTACTTGTTCAAATCTTTTATAATAATTATAGTGTTTTTGACGGAAATCTGTTATGTTGCATGATTGACAACACCAGAAATGTGTCAGTTTGTTAGGTACTTTGTCAACTTGTCATAATCTATGTAAAATTTTAAAATCTGTTTTTTTTTAAAGATAAAAGTCAGAATGACATTGTGTTGGCAATACAATGTAAAATTGTCAATTTTTCAAAAGTTTTATATGGAAAAGGCTTGTGTTGCCAACATAGTTACTAAATTTTTGACTTTGGGAATTATCTTTAAAAAAAAAACGGACTTTAGCACATTTTAGTTTATGATTTTAGTAATTGGGATAAATAAAATGTTGCTCAAGAATAAAATTGAATATTACACACGACGGTAAAAAAGCTTTACCTGTTCGTGGAATTAATCCACTCGCTCCTTCGTCGCTCGTGAATCAACATTTTCCACTCACAGGTAAAGCATCTTTTCACCGTCTTGTATAATAAATAACTATTATTTGAGGAAAGATTAAACTTGTTAGAAGGTGCAGTGCATGTGTGGGTGAACCGGCCTAGAACTTGACCTGTTTTATTTTCACATCAGTGATCATTTCGAGCCACCTTATCGCCCATAGTGTGAGCAAAGCTGGGTAGAAAACAGTTAGGTACTCCGTTAATCAACGAAGTTAAAAAAATGGTATGCTTAAATTTAACTTCTAAGTTACTCTTAGAAATTATTAACGGTTTTCTTAACTTCTGTTACTTTGGTCTTCCGGTGATTTTGGAACGTTAATGACGTCATTTTGTATGCTTATGAATTGCGCTGCAAGGTCAATCATAACAGTTTGCACAGACTCAGAAAGATTTTTGCGCTGTGTTTTTTTCAGAATCGATTCTGTCTGAGGCCTAACCAAACTCTCCTAAAGTATGCAATATGACAAATTTGACACTGTTGACATGTGATATATAATTGTCAAATAGGGCATGTCCATGTGACGTCACAAATGGGTTTGGCAGTCGTCCTGAGGTAAAACAAATCATTTATTTACATTCGTTTAGATTAGGCCGATTATGTTTTATGCGGTTTTCACAGCTTTTTCACAAGTTTTGGTGTCATTTTGTTTTAGAAAAGTTAGAGCGGAGTGTTTGTGTTCTAGTCTATTTGGTCTTTCATCTAAAATTTGCTAGGTTTTTCCATAATGGATTAAATTCAGGTTTTTTCGGGAACATTATTCAGTTTTTCTCTTCTCTCTTGAGCTAACAATTCAAACCTCCCATTGTTATTTAAAATTGATGGAAACCTATGGAAGGATATTGTATCCCTTGCGCTATACTGCCACAATTAACAAGTCCAATGTCCAAGAAACTTCTGGAGCACACAAAGGGTATTTATTTAAAAAAATCTAACTAAAAACTTAAAAAACACTGTAAATTATATCTTTGTTTTACCTCAAGGCGATTGTCAATAGTGTCAAACTGTCAGATCGTGTACTTGCCCTATTGTATTGTTTTATCTGTCAATGTAAAAGGAGAACTTTTCACAAGTTTTATTGCCTTATATGTTTAAGAAAGAGAGAGACAGAATAAGTATTACTTGAATTTGTGAAAAATCTGTTGAGGTTATCACAAATTTCATCTTTTTCCTTGGAAATTTGCAAGATAAATTTACCCCCGTTTTATGCCTCATTTTCACTTGCACGAAATCCGCTCTTTTTGTGCGAAGTTCGCTCTTTTTTTGACAATGCTTCGATAATTTGATGTTTTTTGCGTGTTATCAAACGTCAAATTGTCGAAGCAATGTCAAAAAAAGCGAATTTCGCGCGAGTGAGAATTAAGCTTCATAATTCTACTGGTCGGCGAATAACTGGCCGACCAATGAGATCACAGATCGCGTTTTTATCGGACAGATTGCGTTTTTATCGGCCAGATTGCATACCTGATAGTTTAACAGAATGTTAATAAACCAGCCTTAAAATAGATGATAATAGAAGAATTTTTGAAAGGTAAAAATACGTCAATTAACAACTTTATACAGTTTACTGAGTGATTCCCACGACACAAATGAAAACTCCAAAAACCATTGAGCCAAAAACATAGGTTAAATAAACAAACATCGCAGATATTTGACCTTCGCCGCCATATTGAATCCTGGCATTAGTGGTTTAGATCGAGGCTGCCTGACAAGTTTTATGTCGTTATCTGTATGCCTAAACATAATGCAAATCTCTGTGAGAATTATCTAATGACGTCATCTGTTTGCCATTACCAGTCTTCCGATGGTACTAGGAAACAGATGACGTCATCTGGGGTGCCTAATTTAGATTTGCATTATATTTGAGTACCCGAGATGACGTCATTGAAGTTATCAGGCAACCTATCTCTTTCAAACAACCTTGATTTTGATCAATAAATATTTTTTTTACTTGACGTTTCCGTCACATAGCTTAAATTTGACATTTATAGGTGCTATTGAAAAGCGCCAGAAAATGTTGGTTTCAGGATCATACAGGATGCTTCATAAAGAAATGTCAATACATTTTTGAATTCTTCATAAAACTTCAATACATTGTTAATATTTTGGTTTTATTTATTAAATTTGTATATTAAAAACGTAGGTTAAACAAACATCACAAATGCTTGGTCATTGCCGCCATATTAAATGCTGGCATTTGTGATGTGGATCAAGATTGTTTAAAAGAAGAAGGTTGCCTGATAACTTTTATGACGTCATCTGTATGTCTTAAGATAATGCAAATCTCCATGAGAACCACCTGATGACATTATCTCTGTTTGCCATATCTAGACAACGTGTTACAAGCAATTGAAATTTTGTCATTGATATCGGCAACGTCGCCGAAATTTGTTCTAGGGGAAGTTTAGATTGAATCCTAATTGCGCTATCCTTTTCTGTCTCGCACTGCTGATTATTTTTCTCTCGCAAACCGGTGCCGTCTTTGCCTTTTTCATAAGAAGAGTTGGTGTGATCAGTTTTGTAATTTCAAACGAAAGATCACGTGAGCTTCTGTCAACAATTTCATCTTTTAGCTCATGAGGGATTAACCAAACTCGCCTAAAGTAGGTGATATGACAAGTTTAACACTGTTGACATTTGATGTAAATGTCAAATGGTATTTTTTTGGGCAAATTATTTTATTCATCGATGAATCCATCTGCTGCTAGCATTATGAGACAGCCATTTCGATTTTCTATGAACTAAGCAAAAAAAGACTGGTCATCGATGGGTCTATCGGTGGAAAAGGACCTTCTCTACAAGCCTTATACAAAATGTTTGAGAGAGGGAGATAGAATAGGTAATTTGAATTTCTGAAAAATCTGTTGAGGTAATATTGCAAATGTCATTTTTTTCCCTGGAACCGTCCACTGATGAACTAGTCCTGAGGCCGGTTTTTTGCTTAAGACCACACGACAAAAGTAAAAACTTCATAAATCAAAACGATTAGAAACGTAAATTTAATAAATAAACATCGCAGATGCTTGAACATTGCCGCCATATTGATTCCTAGCATTTGGGGTTTGGATCCAATAGCTAATTTCAAGCGATCGACCGATCAGTCATTTTGACAGATAAACTATTAATTAAGCGTCATTTGTCAACCAATTGGTCTTAACTGACGTTAAATGTATTGCTTATGTGTCAAGATAACCGATCGGTCAATCGCTTGAAATAGACCACTGAACTATAAACTACAGTACCTGGAATGGCACCGACCGTTGTCGGATATGGCATTTGTCTCTCTGAAAGATAGCTATACATAGTAGAGATACCTTTCTCTCTCTAGTTCATTGTTGTTAGGTTTGGTATATTCCTAACCTCAAATATAATGTTTTTTAGGCAAGGAAAGATTTCCATAATTCGCAAATAAGAGTTATAGAGATAGGTATCATCCTCATTCTCCATCTCAATTTGCCTCAATTTTATGGATCGGCGGGCCATTCCAAGGCTGGGATCACGACAAGTAAAATTCTACTTTCATGACTTTAAGTTACCTAGCAACCGTCATCATCGTCTATACTGTACGCGATAAATAGGTCGAGGGTGACGTCATGAAAGTAGATTTCTACTTGTCGTGATTCCAGCCGTACGTGTAGTTTATTAATTATGACATCATCTGTATGCCGGATAGTCCGCCTGCTATATGATGTCCATGAAGATATGAATGCAACCGTCCTAAGCAACGATAAACAAGGAGAGTCTTTTCTAATAACTACAGGCATTAAACAGGACTGTATCATTGCACCCAATGGGTCACTTTCACGTCCCGGGAATATGGCAAATTATAATATTTTTTGACGCAGATACATCAATGCAACCAAAAATGAACAATATTTTGCAAGATTTTAGTCAGATTATTAAATAAATTAATAAATAAAAACTAAAAATTTTAACGAAAAATCACGTGATTGAAAACGCTCTGTGATTGACTAAAGCCGATTTTGACATTTTTGTTGCCACATGTAGAAATGCGAAATTTAAATGAGTTAATAAGGATTATACCTATCCTTTATTTTTTTATAATGTAGTAATAAAGGACGAAAATAGTTTCTAGCTAGTGAAATATGTAATGATTTACTAATGAGAAATTTGGCATCCTTGATTTTCTGGTGTGTGACGTCACATACCAAGTTAATTTTTTCACGCCAGTTTAAAAATTCGATTTTTAAATAATTTTTTTTTCAAAAATTAGCGTTTTTTTTTCGGAAAAAAAGTATACAGATAGTATTAGAATGACTAAAAGAATAATTTAAAAATGTTTTTGAAAAATGTGAAAGTGGCCCATTAATTTTTCTCTATTTATGGGATCCATACTACACCTTGTCAAGGGTCACCTGTCGTCAAGAGTGAAAATCCTGTACAGACTTGATGGCGGCTTATTCAACCTACACAGATTACACGCCAAGACGAAAGTATCGACGACATCGATAATTGAACTCCAATATGCGGGTAATAACGATGTGATGGCCAATACAGAGAAAGATCTTCAAGCAATTATCAATGCATTCAACCAGGAATACAGGAGAATCGGCCTAGAGGTCAAACTTAACAAGACGCATATTCTGCACCAACTAGCACTGGATACTAATCCCTAAGGGCGGTTACACACGGACGTGGATATCTTAATACATATACGTGCATACATCAACGTGCAAACAACAACGTGCATGGCGCTTTTGTACAGACGCTCGCACTAAACTGCAGTCTTGCTATTCTTGCTACAGTATTCCGAGTGTGCATACAAAATTGCACATTCAAAAACGCGATGGTATTTTGCATATACATTGATGTTTTTGTTTTCGCGTTCATGTATGTGCGTACATGTTTTCAGACATACACGTCCGTGTGTAACCGCCTTAAGCCTCAAATATAATCATAAATGAGTTACATGGCTGCCAGAGACTGGGTGTGCCAAGACTGTGGAAGAGTGTGCGGCTTCAGAATTGGTTTATACAGCCATCAAAAAACACACCATCGACGACAATACTAAGAATAGAAGATAATCATACTCGGTATCAACTGACTGCGATAGCCTATGATGTGACTCTAATTTGTAAGATAATCCGATTCAGAAAAAAATCCAATTAAATCAAGATGCTAATCTGCAATTTAAATCCATATCCTTCCGTTTACTTAATAGACCAGGCGCATATACAAAACTCGAACATGAAGTGCTTTCAGGATTTATTGCATCCGCCGCATCCGTATGTTGATGTGTGTACCTAGCAAACAACAATTTAAATTGCAAATCGATTGCATTAATTACTTTGAGAGTAAACGTTCGTTTGCATTTCTAGCAAATTAAAGTTTCTGTGGGTAAAAAACCCTCGTTCAACAATTTTTTAAAAGCTCTCTAGTGGCCAGATTCTAAAGTGAAAAATTGCTTCTCACTGCGAACTACTGATTGCATTTCGCCTCGCATACAAAAATTTTCCTCGCAAATTAATTTTAATAGGTCAACGAGGCTTTTCTCGTAATTGACGCTATTTGAGTTTACTAATTAATTTACCTACTTATGTTTCATCAAAAAAAGTATTTTTTTAAATAATTTGTTTCTCTAAGGTATGGATCAAGAAAGGGTACGGTTAACTAGAGAAGAAGATCTTTACAAGCAAGAAATGTTACGCCTGGAAAAAGATTTGAGCGAATTGGAATCGACAGTGGAAGAATTGAGAGGCAACGTTATCAATAGAAAAACGCGAGTGAATATGTCGGACGTCGAAAATATGGCTCTAATATTAAGTAAAAGTTCGAAAACTGTGGCTGATTTGAAGTTGAGGTAAGAATTTATGATTTTGATTGAATGATTTTCTTGATATTTTAAAGTGAAACTTTGCTATGTAACGAAAACATGCAACGCTAGGCATCCCCTCTTCTGTCATGAAGTCGAGTTAGTAGTGGGGATTGCTTGAACCATTAGCGCAGTTCAATGTAATTATTCCATTGAACCAATCCCTTAATTAACCACTTTCCTATTATGTTTTTTTGTTTGAAGGAATTTCACTTCAGTAGCGTACGTATAATTACACGTTGTATTTTTTGGTTTTATATTTAGATTTCCTGGCCTACAAGACAGTATGAAGACGCTACTAACAACTGAAATGGACAAGATGGTTAGAGAAGAGAAATTTTTGAAAGAAGAACCTGAAAGGCTCGAGAGTGCACTTAGGAGGTGTAAAAAGCTCACTGGAACCTTGGTTACATTAAAAAGGTAATATTATGTTGTTTAATATTTGCATAAGTTTTTCAGGGATTTTTATTTATTGTGTCAGGTATCTTTGAAATATTCCTTGTACTCGTTTCATATTATTGTAGTCACCATTTTATGGGAGTTTGAGGAATATAGTGGACTAGTGGACAAAAGTTGGACTGTGATTTGGGATAATCTTTACTAATTATAAATTCAAAGTACACTTCTTGCTTTCTCTTGACTCTTGACAACAACAACAACTGAAAGTCAAAAGCTAAACATGTGCTATATGTCAACTGTCGAAAATTAATTTTTGACAGATGAAAGATTTCAACACTGTTCGCATCAAAAATAAGACACCTTGCCTTTTCAAGGATAGTTTTATTGTATCGCTCTGCAGCTCCGTTCTGCTCTGGATTGCGAGCAACAGTGTACTGAATTTCTATTCCTCTTTTGCTACAAAATCTCTTGAATTCAGTGGACGAGTACTCACCACCATTATCACATCTCAATCTTGCAATCCGAGTACCAAACTTTGCTTCAACTTGGGGCACATATTCTGTAAACTTGTTGATAACCTCACTCTTCTTCGACATCAAGTAAATCATCCCAAAACGTGAGAAATGGTCATTGAAGCTCACATAATTCGACTTTCCATCGCGTGTTGGTGGATTTATTGGCCCACAAACGTCCGTTGACACTACTAAGATACGTTTTGGTATTCTTTCAAAGAGCCATCTTGTTTGTTTGCCCTGAAGACAGACTTCACAAACACTAGGTGCAGGAAATTTGTATGAATGCCCCATTGGTCTATGCTGAAGCAACATTTCGTGTTTGTGCTGTTCCAGGGAGTTTTAGTGCAATTACATAGAGATTTCCACGTAGATGGCCTTTCTAAATTATTTTTTCATTTTTAATTCTTGATAACCATTTTCTTCAAATTTTAGTAGATTATGAAACAGATTATTATGTACCCATACATTTTTTATTAAAACATTTTGGTCACTGTCAGTTTTCGAGTTCAGATTCCCTTTCTTTGTTGCTTGCATAGTCTTCCCTTGTTTTACAACTTTTATTGAGTATGAGACTTCCTGCGCGTTAACTGAAAACTATCCAATGGCGTCATCTGCCAGATGATTCGTTGCACCACTATCTATTATGAATTTGTTCTCTCTACTATTGCACTGAATTATACATGATTCTTCGCTTATTTGTGAGATATCTTCACTTGCACCCTCTGTTATTCCATCACCTGATCTGTTACTACCATCAATACTTTCTTCAGCTACATGCACTTTTCCAGTGCCAGCCTTACTAAACTTATGGCATTGATACTTCATATATTTCCTGAGGAATTTCCTGAATAATTTCCTGGAGAATGTTCCACTCTTCTCTGCCAATTTTTTTTAAAACCTGCAAATGCTGCCTGATCAGTGCTTGATTCGCCTTCTTTATTTTCTTTTCTTGTTTCTTCAAGCAGCAATTTATTTTTTACAAAATATAAGGTGACTTTTGATTCGTCTTGGCAAAGCATGACATCTTTTGCCGTGACAACTGCTTGATATGACTCTGGCATTGCTGATAGTAGCTGTGAGACTACTTCACTGCTCTCAGTTTTTCCGCCAGCCGCTTTCAATTCACAGACTGTTTGTTCGAAGGTAGTTAAAAAAATATTTAAGGGGGTTTCTGCCAAAAACTTTAACCCTCGAAGTTTCTTTTGTAGCATAACTTCAAATGCCTTTCATAGTGTAAAGTTTTTAGGATTTCTTTATCTGTCGGTTTTGTCTTTATCAATTCCAGCATATTGTCTGCTGAGCATTGCCCTATTATATTTCGAGCTCTCACGTCGTCTTTCTTCTATGTTTTCAGTTCCTACTCTTTTGCAGCCACATCAGGCGCTGAGGGATCTATTGTCAAAAGGTAGAGCACTCTGGCTTGCTCAAGGGCTAACTTAACCCCAAATTCCTAGTTAGAAAAGCCTGTGCCGTTGAAGAGCGTCACATTAATATGCTGCGGTGCTTGAGCTGCCATTACTATAACTTTCACTTCTTGAATGTCTGCCGCAGTGACCCTCACTGCCACGACTTACATATTACTAAGCATTCACTTTACTTTTCAGTTACTACCAACTATCGCTGGGCTCATTTTGATTCTAGACTTTTCTTCTTCTAATTTCGCTGTAACTAAATTTAGTTAAGATCACTTAGTAGAACATTTTCTAAGATTGAGATTAAAATCTCAACAGACGCTAGATTCATCATATTTATGTTGATACAACGTAATCCCTAGAACTGCAAATTCTTTTCCTAAAACGAAAGACGAACAACTGGTCCAGCACGGTCGCTCATAAGGTGGAACATGCTTTCTAGATATAAATATTGCAAAATCAACTTTTCTATGAATCACACGGTACCTACATGTAATTTTGTCTGGTTTATTTAATGTTTTAATTAATTATTATTCAGTATGATTAATCTTCATTTGAAACACCAGAATATAGAATATGAATGTTTTTTTGGTGTTTTATCATTCATCCAGTTTCATCATCGCACACCAAAGTGACGTATAGTTATGGTTTCTCCAACGTTTTATAAGATACATTATTCCAGACTTGCCAGCGTCCAAGAACAACGACTTCCTTGCTCAAACCCCAACAGTGACGGCAGATTGTCCCCGACCGCCACCGAAACACCCCCGATAACGCCTTCGTCGACCCACAGCAAGGTAAAACTAATTATCCAAGTAGAACGTATTTATGAGAGTTATGTAAATTTTGTCTTTACAGCGCATGTGGTTTAATTATTGCAATACATTTATTTAATATACTAAATTATCAATTTAAGACGAGAATATACTCTATTGTTATTCGTTTTCAAATTTCAAATACCTAACTTCCAAACAATCTCACTCAACGTTGTATAGTAATTCTTGAAACAGCAAATATTTCTGATAGACAAAACACATAGACAACCAATTTTTTTGGGGTGATAAATCTTTTCAGAATTCATAAAGTTCACCAATGTTCATTTTTTCATTGACATTCATCAATAATTTATCCTACCTACCACATACCAAAATCTGATCATGATAATAAGAAAAGAGTTTTTGTTGTTTGCTAATTATTTCTAATTTTTCTTGAGATTTTTCCAAAGTAACACTATTGAAAACGAATAACATCATTTGTTTATAAATTACTCCCAAATTAGTTGATTATTTACATAGATTTATTCAAGAAGAAAGTAAAAACCATTAAACCATTAATTACAAACCGTGTCACACGCATTTCCAATGTTACCTTAGCTATTTTTACCTTCTTCGTTGATCATATTTGTAAACGAGACGCATTTCATGAACATACATTTTATTTTCATGGTTTTAGTACAAAACAATAATAGGCTTATACAGATCCTAAACTATTAATGCAACTTGCGTTTTTAAAAAGTTTGACTTTACAAATTGAGGGTAAAATCAATGAAATGTTGCTTATTACTTCAACACTATGTTGGCTGGAACATTGAAAGTAAATGCTCTCTTTTGATGTTGGGTAATTATAAGAGAATAGGCAATAAAAAAAAAAGTCCACATGTGTTTTTTCTTTTTCTTGTTAGTCAAAAATTGACGGAGATACAACGCTTCGAAATGTACTTATTTTTTATATCCTATGACGTCACACACGCTCAATATATTGTGAGACCCCAATTCAGAAATTTATATGATGTTGAATTGAGTGGAGACACAGATTAATATGGGTCCTATTTGCGGGTGTGAAAGTAAAACACAACTGTGGACTATTATTTTAATATGATTTTATTTAAAATAAATTTATCGGGCGTCGGCCAGATAGACTCGAAATATAATAACCAAAATTTTCACTCTGACTTATTTAAAATTTCACTCTTTTCTCACAAATACCTAAATTTCAATAGGTAAGTTTCGTACCAAAAGTTTGCCTTATCAAAAATAATGTTGAATTGGAAAGATCAATTTTTTTTCAATTATTAATCACGAAAATCCCATTTCAAAATGTTATAAAGAATTATGAATAACGAAATATGTTTCAATAACAAAAGTTCTTTTACAAAATTTAGCTTCAAATTTTCTTATTTTACCAACTATTAATCATAAAATATCACCTCAAAATTGTTTTAATTCCTTTTGGGATAATTATTTAACTTTCGTAAATTTATCAATTCATTAAGTTTTTGTCCTATTTTATAAAGAGTAGGTACAAATTTCCTTTTTTACAGTGTAAATGTACAGGGTGTCCCATTGAAGATGGGAATTGGGGCTATCTGCTAAACTCATAGAGGTAGATTTTTATTTAAACGGTATCTCGGAAAAAAAATTCCAGTACGCCAGTGAAATTTACGTAAAAAACTGCGTCAGATACAATTTTCACCTTTTTGATATCTTTTTTCATACGCTAGATAATGACTACCCTCGAAAAGGGAACATTCCAAGTTTCACCCTGTATCTCCGAATCGAAACAAGATAGAGACCTGCGGTTTACGGCATTCGATTTGTCATAAAAAATTGACCCGGAAATGTGAAATCAAAAAAAATATATCTCTGCGAGTTTAGCAGATAATCCCAATTCCTATCTTCAATGGCTGTACTTACAAGATGTATTTATTACTTTAAAATTGTACTGGCACACACGTAATTACTGAAACGTTATTTTTACGACTTGGCTTTATGAACCCGAAATTTTCGCACTTCCTCCTTAAAACGCTTCGACTTTGGACTCTGCTTGCTGCGTCTGATACTTGACTGACCGTTCTGACTGTTCTCGACTGACACTTTTGACCGTTCTTGACTGATACTTCTTCTGAACCGACACTGCTATTTTTATCGCAAAGCAGGCTTTTTATATAAAAATTGTCTCCTTCCTTCCTTTGTTCTTTCGACCTAATTTCTCCCCCAATTTGATGACATCAAGATTTCGTCATCTCGGCCCTCTTTTTAGTGGAATGCGTTACCGTTTCTTTGTCGGCATACAGCACACGCCTGATTTATGGAGCTTTC